TCTTTGCAGAGGGCGCTGAATGCTGCTTGTGCTGCCCGGGATCGATTCGGTCGCCGGATCAACCCCCGGAGCAAGAACGAGTCTGTTCCCGAAGAAGACGACGACGAAGAAGAGGCATTGTCCCCTGGCTCAATGCCACCACCAAAAACGGCCACACCAGCTAATGATAATGGAAGTCTTGCCAACATCAACTCTTCATTTTCGGGCTGGTCTGGTATCAAGGAAGGACCAGCTTCGTGGGGATCGGGCGAGCACAGTGAAAATGTGGGATACAGCACTACAGAGCAGACGTCATATTCCGCTTGCCACCAATCAATGGCAGAGATGTCGAATCCTTCCCACTCTGTGCAGCATAACTTGGACGTCTACTCGAACCACCTGCCCCCTCACAGGGAAGAGTGGTCTGAGGACAGGGAGTCACGACACGACAACCTCGTCTACGGCAACATGCAATATCCGATGTCCATGCAGGCACCAGATATCTCGGTCACACGTCGTGAGTCTTCTGATGCGCTGACTGCCTCACTGGAAGGCATCGGAATATGTACTACCGGCCAATCTGGGCTGTCTCAATCTGTGGATCGAGTGGAGGCAAATTGCTGGAAGGAACCTGGTAAGGAGCTTGATCTCGCTGCACGCCGCAAGCGTCCTCGCCCTGCTGCCATTGGCACCTCGGGAACTCGTCCTTTGGTTAACTCAACCTCGATGTCCTCGCTCTCGCCTACCGCTCGTATGCCTAACTCCGGTGCCGGCAACTCGATGAGGCAGTCTAAGTCAGCTCAGAGCCTCAACTCCCGGTATGCCGGTGTGCGGAAGGCATCGGCTGCCCAGCGATCTCCACTCAATTTCACTTTTGCGGATTCTGGGTCCATCAAGAAGGCTGAGAAGATGCTGCGACCATCCCTCTCGACCACTAGCCTAGCTCCACCAACTCCCTTGACCCCGCAAGACCTCCAGCACTTCATGCCTGCCTCTCCCACAGAAAGCAACTACTGCTTGTCTGCCCACTCCACAGCCCACTTCTTCCCTACCTCTCAACCCATGCAAGTTAACATGGCATCACCCCCTGCTACGCCACTGGATATTTACTCCCCCTTCCCTTACCAAAACGTGGCCCCGCCGATGTCGGCTCCGGCTCATGTATCTTCCTTCCCTGAATATATCACATGTGACTCGGTTCCCATGCCGGCCCACAGCTGGGCCGATACTGCTTCCATATCTTCGCCCGAGTACCCGGCTGGTCTCCAGGTGCCGCATTCAGCCACCGTCTCGCCCATGGGTTATAACACGACCATAGACCACAACGGACAGGCCTTTGGCATGGAATCGGTCTCTGGGTCCCCATCTTTGATCTATTCGATCGAAGATACCGACATTTCAGGCTCTGCCGAGCTCGCGGAGAGGAAGCGGACCGAATTTATGATGCACGAATTCCCAGAGCACGATCCCCACTTTGGTGGCCATCACTTGCCATCGATGCAGAAGCCAAAAGCCTACACCTTCGCGAACAACACGACGCCAAGTAACTACCCTTCCTAGGGGCAAGTCTGTTGATCTTTCCCTTACTATGGATGTACGAGAAATGCGCGACAACTTTTAGTGTTTTTGGTCTGGGACGAGTTCACTACGCAAAATTTTCACCTTCACCTTCGTTTTCCTACACTTTCCCTCGTAAGGGAGATGTTGTTTACTGAACTCTCCGTGCGCGGAGAAGCACTGTCACTTTATGTCTTCTATATACTATTTTTTTTTTCGTGTCTCTTTATTTGGGGTGTATTCACCGGGTTTTTACATATTTGGAGCATTCCTTGCATGTTGTTTATTGGCCTGGGATTGTTTTTGTTATTTTTGGTGTCTGATAGGACCTTTTAATTTCTGCCGAGCTCCCTCACGGGAACATCGAGACCTTTTTTTTATATTCTGCTTTTGATTACTTGTCTTTGTCTTTTGACGTCTTTTTTATTCCCGTGATTTGGAATCGGTTTTTGTGGATGGGATTTGAACTTGGATTTGCATATGGCTTTGGCAGCATTCGACTTATTTTGACATTTTCCATGATACATACATTTGTTACGTATCTATACTATCTCATATCTCTCAATCAAAAAAAGGGGTGATCTCTTACATTTTGGCATTTACCCGAAGTAAATCTCCGAACCAAATGATGATTAACCCACAAACAGTTAGGGCTCGGATGTTCAAGCCATTTGTGCCTTGCCCTTTCTAGCTCGCTCGTACAAGCACTATGGACATGTATTCTTCCAAAGTGTACGGAGTACGTACTCCGTACATCGTACAATAATGGATTCAGCACGTGCGCCAGACCATAGGTTGTCGTGTCCGGAACCCTGGATTGCGGAAAAGCGCCACTGGAACACACAGTAACCTTAACTACCACGTGCGCTACAGTCTGCCAAGGTTTATGCTGAATATAAAAGGAACATATTTGGCGATCTCATCTCAAAGAGAAGGAAAAACACAAAACAAACTTGTTTATTGAACCATTGGGATTGAAACCCGCGTATCCCCGTTTCCAATGAGACTCTCCACTCTCGGTTCAGCCCTTGTGGGCCTAGCTGTCGCGCAGGCATCGACTATCAATTATTCTGCGGTCACAGGCTACTTTTTGCAGGATGAGGAATCAACTGATGCCTCTACATTTGACTATGTAAGTGAAGTGCAAATTCCAGCCAATTAAGAATGGTTACACTTCAAAAACTATCTCAATATCGATACCTTCACTGGTCATTATTTGGGTCCACTAACATGTTCAGACGGCGGAGAACTTCGGCCTGATCGACCGCGCATATCCCGCAGACAAAGACTACAAGAAAAACGAGTCTCCAACTCAATGGGAGCGCTTCTACAATCAGGTCACCAATTTGAATGAGCATTCTCCCCCGCACATCGAGTACAAGGTTCTGTTCCTTGGTCGACATGGGGAAGGGTGGCACAATGCCGCCGAAACTTATTATGGCACACCAGCGTGGAACGTAAGTCCCCTGCCTGCCACCTTAACATTGCGCTAGGACCAATCTAACTTTCTCCATTCAGTGCTACTGGTCCGAACTCAGCGGTAATAGCACAGCAAGCTGGGCAGACGCGGCCCTCACCCCCGGCGGTGTCACCCAAGCGCTCATAGCAAATGAGTTCTGGCAAAAGGAGATAAATGAACAACGAATCCACACCCCAGACCAGTACTATGTCAGCCCATTGACACGCACTCTGCAAACCGCCAACATAACTTTCGGGGACCTGGACCTGCCCAAGCACAGCGCGAAATTCAAGCCGACCATCAAGGAACTCTTCCGCGAAGGAATCAGCATCCACACCTGTGACCACCGCCGTAGTCGCAGCTACATCCACGACCTGTTCCCGCACTGGTCGATTGAGCATGGGTTCACCGAGAAGGATGAGCTGTGGAATGGCGTGACGGCTGAGACTAGTGGCGCGCAGGATGTTCGCAGTGCCCAGGCATTGGGACAAGTTTTCTTTACTTTGTCCAAGAAGAAGTCGTTTGTGTCTATTACGTCGCATTCTGGTGAAATCTCGTCTATTTTGAGGGTTATCGGACACCGGACCTTCAGGCTGAGCACCGGTGCTGTTATTCCGGTGCTGGTCAAGGCTGAAAGGATTGGAGGCAAGGCTCCTGCCACCTCCTCTGTGCCTTGGGAGGTGAGCCCACACTGTACAGAGCCTCCGGTTACATCGGCTACGGCTTGTGTTTGTCCTTCCAGTGCAGCACCTGTTACGACGCCTTTGGCTACCGGGTTCTAAAGTGATTTGTATGCTAAATTAGGTAGATGGTTTTGCATGTACGGGGTAGGCCCCGCGTACAGTCAAATGAAGCAATTTGTGATAACACTTGATATAACCGAGGACAAACATGTGCAATACAGGAATAATCGGCTGGTTACGCGGCCTTGTCCTTCCTTGGCTGGTGACGTAGATCAGTAATATGTTCCAATTGACTTGAGATGGTTCCAAGGTTAGTATAAGGGACGTTATATTCAAGATTCTTGTTCAATGTCTTCTAGATGTTAAATATTATTTACGATATCTTCATGTCTTTTTAATCTTTGTTTAATTTTTTGGTTCGATGTCTTTTCAGATGTTCCCTCTCCCCCTCTAATGGTGTTTGGCCTAGCCCCTCATGCGGTAAAAAAAAAACTTGAAAAATGTCGGTCCACAAGTCATACATAACATCATAAAATCAAGTGGAAAAAAACTTGAAAACAAAAAGAATCGTCCCCGGGAAGGCTTGAACTTCCAACCTCCCGATTAACAGTCGGACGCGCTAACCAATTGCGCCACGGAGACTTGATTGTGGCAAAGGTCAGTGGGGATGGCTTCATTAGTGGAGACACAATGGCTTTGTATCAGCTACTGCCGAGAGTATGAATAAATCAAAGTCAGTGCTGTAGATAGGAAGAGAAGTGAGATATTTAGGTAGAACTAGGATGTACCTAGTATATTATATACATAATGCGCTACAGTTACAATTATTAGAAAATAAGTACCTAGATAATATGTGTGAATAACAAAACCTTGGAACTTCATGAAGCTCCGAATGCTTCCAAGGGCCATATTTCACTGTGATTGGTTCATCCTTGGCTCTTATACTAACTAGCTAGGTACCTAGGTACACCTGGGCAGTGTAGGTCACTTCCAAGGTTGGAGGTCGCTGCGTATTATGTTAGTATTGTCCTTCTCATATTCTTTGAGCGTGGATATACTTCATTCACTACTACATCTTGTTATATTCCTACGCACCCTCATTTTTTTCCGCCTCATTTCAATGGCGGAAAAAATGGCATCCAACAAGGCGGTGCAATCAGCACTCTGCTTGCCTGAGGGTCAGGCTACCATAAAATACTTGCATTTATCAAAACAAACCTTCACCTTTTGTTTACCCTTCTGAAAGCATATTCTGGGCACTCCTGGTGACCTCCTGATACGTGCCGCGCTGTTCCTGGATCTTTTCTGGTTCAATTACAGCAATGAATCCATCGCAGGCTCAAAGTCCACCCTCGTCGCGGCTGTCTGCGATGGCCTTGAGCAGCTCGCCATCTGTGCAGCTGGCCGCGATGGCCTTGAATAGCTCACCCTCAGAACGGCTGGCTGCGATGGCCCTGAGCAGCCCACCCGTTCAGAAGCCTTCACGTGGTGTCCCTACTGAGTTTTCCTATTCTCACACCTCTTTGTTTGATGAGGCTTCCCCTCCTGGGACTCCTCACTTGGCTGAAAGTCCTTCCCCCACCCCGAGCCTTCCTAATACACCTTCCCCGCTCGACAGGCGCCTGTCTAACAATTTGAATCATCCTCCTTCGCGGACTCAACATGATGACGCGCGGTCTTATCAACCCTCTGGCGCGTTTCGGTACTTTGCACGGGAGCCATCGCTCCCGTATGAAGCGTGGGAAACAGTAAGTACTACACTGGGTCAAATTAATGGAGCATAGACCAATTCCGTCAGCTAACTTGATCTCAGGTCTTCTATGCTATGCTTACTGCTCAATCATGTGAGGAATTTGATTTCATTTATGGGGATATCTACGAACACCCGGCAACCAAAAAGACCCTTTCGAATTTGAGACTGGTGAACCGAATCTGGAACCGGATTGCGGCTCCTCTTCTTTTTCGACACATCCAGGCCGTCGTCGGATACTCTGCTGGTCGGCCTCTTGATAGCATCCTAAAGATTTCCGAAAGCCCACACGCCCTTTACGTACGCGATGTTCGTTTTGGTTTTGTGGGATCATGGCTGCCCGGACTGGATTATGATCGGTACATCGACGACCTGGCAGCAGGAGCTCTTCCAATCCTCATCAGTCGTTTCCAAAACATTCAAACATTGCGGTTGCAAACTCCCACCGTGGTGGACACATTCAGTGAAGAAGGACAACTCAAGCCACCGATGCTTGCCAAGCTGACAAATTCTCTTGTACATACTTTACGCTTTGTGCCTGTCCCGAGACTGAGATGTCTCCATATGTCTATGCCAACCACCGCCGAATTTGCTCGTTTCTTTGAGTCGAACAGTTACGCCAGGAACTTCACAAGCGTGTTCGGCCAAATTGAAGAGCTACACATCACCATTAATGACAGCACTGGTCCTGATGGCAGGCGAGACCCGAAATGGCCCCGGTCAGTGATCAAGACCAAGTATCCACTCGATCGATTTTCTCCATATCTCGTCCAGCTCATCTCGTATGCAGAACGAATCCAGGTCTTAAGCCTAGATGCCCGTACCTGGTTTGATGTATCTGATCTGGAAGCAGAGAGCCTCACTAAACTGAGAAGCTTCCGACTTGAAGGTGTGAGAATCAGCGATGAAACTCTCCGGAAGATTTTCATACAAGCTCGCAATACACTACTTCGCATTGAATTGGTCCACGTTCGGCTCATGGCTGGTACCTGGGAAGATGTTTTCACTCATCAGGGACTTCCTCCCTGGAAACTTACTTGGCTTCGTGTTGATGGATGTGGCTATTCGATGACGGGTACCAGCACCCAGTACGTTAGTTATTCATTCTCGCACTACCCAACAGCACTCTGGACTCTCCATGGCCGGGACTGGTTGGCTCTTACACAGTGGAGATCGGTGGTGAATGCAAACCGTCATCATAAGGGACTGCCTAGATGTCCGCATTGCTATTTCCCACCAATCAACCCAGTCCATAACCCTAATTAGGGATACATAGTGAGCAATATTTACAGAAACAAAGATGTCACAGGGGGCGATATCATGATTTGTGACTGCTGTTCTTGATTTCTGGGCTCACTGTCCGGGATGAACTTTCCGAGGTTCTTAGGGTTTTCCCTTAACTGACTACGGGATGTGCGTACTCCCCTTTCTTCTTTACCTGGTCGTCTAGATCTCCAGGATTTCATGTATGTAGGAATTTTCCCTTAATTCTGCGTCTGGTCGTCTTGATCTCCATGTGCTTTCTTTTTCTTTTACCTCCTCCCTTTTTTCTCTGATGATTCGTTCCCTAACTTGGTTGGTGGGTTTGCGGTATCATAGCATCGTGGTTCAAGGGCATGGCTATAAAATAGCGAGTAATAGAAGCTAGAAAGTCCCTGGATTATTTAGTTAGCAAATAATTAGTTGGTCATTTGCACCTGAGGCCCTGCGCACTTGAACCAGACGGATAGTATTGCTCTACCAAATTTCATACACTCGCGAAGTGGAACTCTCCCATTTCAGTCCCTGGATAATTTAGAATGCGATGGTGTCCCGCCTTTTCTTCTTATCTTCGTTTTTGTGCTTCTCTCGCTATTTACAACCTATCACCAACTAATTGTAGGAGTCTTTCTTCAATTACCATATTTGGATGTCGCTCTTTATCAAATAAGTCTCCGTGGCGCAATTGGTTAGCGCGTCCGACTGTTAATCGGGAGGTTGGAAGTTCAAGCCTTCCCGGGGACGTTTGTTTTTTTTTTGATATTTCTCTTTTTGTTCCCATTCCCTATTTCTTTCATTGCAAATAGACACTTTTAGCACTTGTTATTCCAGGGGTTTTTTTTTTTCTCTTTCCGGGAGTTATTAGTAGGGTGACGTTAATTTAAACTCCATCGTCAAACTTTATTTACTGTACTACATCAGGCGTATCGTATCCATGGATATACATAGCCTTTCTTTACCTAGACATCAAAGGTTATATTATGGCTGAGGCTAATGGGTTGTTGTTTATGTCTCGTTCATATCCAAGAAATGAAGATAAATACTCATTGATGCAGGCAGGGTCTGATTCTGGGATATGGAAGACAAGAATACCGCTTGGCTGTTATATGGTCTATGGCTATGTAATCCCACTTCGTGGACTGAATAACCCAGTTCTATATTACTGTTACTCTACTTATTGCCTGGTATAGATCTGTCTTATTGGATTCCGATTATTTGGAGGTGCCAGTAAATGGGGATAGTGGGTGGGACTTGGTTGATGTTAAGTTGTGAATATAAGAAAAAAATACTTAGCTGATCCCTCGTGTTGTCATTGCGGTTTTTGTGTATTACTCGAGGTATATACGTATAGGCCTTGGTTTCTTAGCGGGGTATAGTCAATAATTTATAATGCCGATTCGTGAAGTCGTTCTGATTTAGGTAGGTCTGTTGGTTTATCTGGTTTACGTCGTGGTGATGGTAAGTAGCACAACCCACCTAGTATCTAATTTAAGGCCCTAGGCTTGTTGTATGTAAAAGAGGTATCCAGGGTGTGAAAGCAAATTTAGCAGCACTCGAGTATATGCTACTTACCTTAAGATTCGCAGGAGGGTAGGTCACTCTTACTCCCTTGGAGCGAAAACTCCAGCGGTCCCCTGGTGCTTAACGCGACCCCTTCTAGCTGGTCAGCTCTCATTGTTACCTCCATATCCTAGTTTGTTTATATGGCGCTAATATGCTTACTGGTATATAGTATATATGACACCGAGAAGTGTGAGCTATACCTAGTGACCGTTTCGTTGGTTATATGTTGGGGCTATCGATCGATACAACATATCCCTTTCTTGTACAATACGGGTCTATCATTTATCTCCCTGTTTATGATGTCTACTGTATTTTTTGCCCTTTTTTTTGCTCTGTGTGTCATTTTCATGTGGTATTTGGTGGCTATAACGGACAAGTTCGAGATATATCGAACAAGACAGCACAGCGATATATATATATCCCTACCAATGTAATAATACCTCAAAACAAAATATACAGTTTAACTTGAGGGTTTTGTTTGGAAATAAAGAGTTTTATATATATATATTTGATGCAAGTTTTAAAGTATTTTATCGTCATAGACAAAGGAGGTTGAATTGTGTGTATGATAATGTGCTGTGATATGAGGGCTGTTTGCTGTGTGGGATAAGAAAGAGTGATTTGGGTTATAGGCTCAGAATTATCTGGCTCTTTCATCAAACAAGTCTCCGTGGCGCAATTGGTTAGCGCGTCCGACTGTTAATCGGGAGGTTGGAAGTTCAAGCCTTCCCGGGGACGTTTGTTTTTTGTTTTTTGTTTTTTGTTCCCGTTCTCCACTACCGGGGACCAAACCAACTACTTCGTTTTTTACACCATATAGTCCCTAAATAAAATGAAAGATGTTAACATAAGAAATGATAAAGCGACAACGTTAGTCGCTGCAGACAACCACTGATGTTATTATTTTTTTGGTATTGGAAACAGGCTATCAAACCGTATATCTTTTTCGTTAGTACGAGGACCAATGGCTAAATACTAGTTCGAAATCAGCGGAAACAAGGTATGTACGAGAAATCAAAATAGATAGGGTGGAAGTTGAAATGCCATGCCAACTGAAATTGGCAGAAGAAATAAAGTATAGAGAGCAGTGGAGACTAAGTATGTAGAGAAGAGACACCGTCATTTGACAGGTATACAAGATAGATATAACAACCAGAACGAAGTTTCGAAAGTATTGCTACACACACAGGAAAACCGGGATTTAAAACAAGAATAGAACTCAAATACATAGGGTCAAGCAGATGCAAGCGAACAAGGATCATACATTTCTTCGAGCAGCCAAGAGACGATAAGACATCTCGCCTAGACACAGGAAAGCTAAACTGTCCACAGCGATTCACCCTCTATCGACCATATATAGGAAATAAAGCAAAAACATACATACTCATAATCTTGCAACACTCTGTCCAAAAGGGTAGAATAAACGCCGAGCATAAGGATCAAACGCCGGTAAAGGGATAACAAGAAACAAGAAGAAAAGAATAATAATAAGTAAACAAAGAAACAGGCACCTCGACTAAGTACAACTCAACAAAGGGTATAGGAAGGTTGGCCCAGATTAACATTAACCGAACATCCTTCACCATGGGATGCAGTGAAGAATGCAGTAGAACACTGGAACATCATAAAAGGAGAATATTTCAGATATGAATGAAAGCATGTGGTGAAAGTGAAACAAAATAATCACGCCTCAGATGATAGTGTAAAAGCTGGTAAAAAAAAACAACGCCAATCTAGATAACGCCGGCCGCCGTGAGCTAGTACGACCACCCACCTCCCAAGGGGCTGCCAGACTGGCCCGGTTGAGGTTGTCCGGGTTGCATCGGGCCACCAGGTCCGGTAGGCCACCCAGGCATACCATTTCCGGCCATGTTCATTGCAAGACCCGCCTGTTGAGGGTTTCCGCCCATGAAGGGTTGGCCACCATGAGCCTGGTTGGGTGGATACATGGCTCGTGCCATGCCCGGATAACCGGCCGGGTTGGTTCCCGGATATCCCATGCCCTGCATACCCTGAGCCTGCGCCGCTTGGGGGTGTTGCATTTGGGAATACTGTTGAGGCATCTGAGGTATTGACTGTCGCTGTTGGTTGCGAGGAGACTGGTGGTGATGTTGTTGTTGCTGCTGCTGCTGCGGATGATGCCCGAGGGGAGATGGGCTTTGCTGCGGAGCTGCAGACATTTGTTGACCATACTGAGACATCCCAACGCCCTGGTGGGCTGACGACGGCAACGGGGACGGCTGTGGCTGCGGAGGCGGCTGTCCCCAAATCTGCTGTTGTTGCGGTGAGTATCCGTATGGAGGGGCCTGGCCCATACCGCCACCCATGGATGGGTTGGACCGTTGCTGCATAAGATTGGGCTGCATATTTGGTGGCATTCTTAGGGGAGACTGTCCAACGGACTGTGGGTGAGCCTGCTGGGCATAGTTTTGCTGTCCACCCATCATTGGGTTGGGCTGCATGGGAACCTGCTGAGGGAGCATATGCTGCGTATGAGCGGGATTTGGCATCCCCGCCGAGGGAACCTGTGATACCTGAACAGGCTGTGATACAGACAAACCCGGGTCAAGAGCGGTACTAGACTGGGTCTCTAAGACTGGGGCCTCGCGGGGCTTGGAGTAAAATTCATCCAAGCCTTTTTGGCGGAAGTTGCGCTGAATGCTCAACATTTTGTTGAAATCAGATGTGTGCTGGGCTTGATTCATGAGGTCTGCTGCTGAGCTAGTTTGCGTGCGGTCATGATAGGGTTGTCCTGTCAATTCCTGGCGTGCACGAGGCATGGCAGTGTAATCCCGTAGCCGCGGGTCATCCGTCGTCGACATATGAATCATGGGGAGTGGGGCGATGGACATAGAAGATTCAGAAGTATCCAGCGAGAGCCCGTGAGGCAATGGCTCGATGGAATTACTGTAGACAACATCGTTATGAGGCAGCGCCGGCAACAGGTTTGTAGCTGGCTCCGAGACAGAGCCATCCCGAGCCTTAGCCGCCCCAGGGCGTTTCTCACCCGCGAGGTCATCCTCCGTGAATCCCTGCTTCCTAGCCTTGGTCTCCCAGTAGTCATCTCGAACCCGACGGCCATTCACAATCACCCGGCTCCCGAACTGTCGGAACATGGATCTGGCGGAAACGATAGCAATTTGGCGAGACCGATAGGAATATGGCAGGATATCTTGCTGGATAAGATCGTCTTTCTCGATTTGGGAAGCAATTATTTTATGCAACGATCGGTTCTTGTTGAACAGAAGATAAGAATCACGATAATTCAATACCCTGGCACATTCAGTCGCAAGCATGAATAGCTTGCTGCCCCGGAGGGGGACGCGGAATGTCCGGCATTTATACTCGCGGCCACCCTGCGGATATCCCATAGGATCTGCCTTGGTCTCTCCTGCTTCATCGAACTCTTTAGGGATGTACTCATCGCCCTCTTCATTCAACTGGTCTGATGTGTGATCTCTCACGGTAGGGAGCGCCTTGACCAGTGTTTTTGTTGGTGTATTCTTGCTATCTGGTGATGCAAGAGACGGCGATCCGGCGTTGGCTTGTGATAGTGCGCGTGCTTGCATTTGGGGAGTTTGGATAGAAGTGTTTGCGATGGTCTGTTCACTAGAACTTGGCCGAGGTGTCTTTGGGGGGCGGCCGCGCTTGCGGCGACTTTGTTCCTCTAGAAAACAAACAGGGCAATGTTAGCATCCATCTCGTGAAGTACAGAAGTTGTGACTAGGCAAGATGCAAGCGCTGCTGGGAAAATAGCACGGTTCTGGATAGGACCCATTGACAATGCCTTCCCGCTGCGCACGTACCATCATCCTGGTCCCTTTCGACATGTCCATTTCCCATATGGTCTGGAGTGCGACTACGCTTGACACCACGGGGGCTTGCTATTGCATGGGAATGTGCTGGCAGGGCAACAGAGACTAGGAGGGGTATCAGTTTGAAAGCACCGATGGGGAAGGAATACACAAAGAGATGAGACAATGAGTAGGAATATGTGATTCATTCCATCAAGTGGTCCCACCTATAGAAAAATAGGACGCGCGCGAGAATTTGTGGTTGAGGATGAAATAGGAAATGAAAGGCGCGAAGCCGAGCCGGCAAGAAATGCGATAAGACACATACCGGAGTTGCTCAAGTTTGCGGGATCGATGGTCCCCGAGCCATCAATGATATCCATACCATTCATTGTAGATAAAGAGTGAGATGTGCCATACATAGCGGGTCGAAGGTCGGACGGTTCGAGCGTCGCAAGATGGCGCGTCAAGTCAACGCGCAAGGTATCCCGGAAGAGGAAGGATGGAAAGTGGCGCAAGAGATCAGGATATGCTCATGCAAGACTTTCGGACCTCTCTAAGGTAGATCGAATTAGGTCAAGTCAGGAGCTTGTAGCCTTTTAGGTAGGATCTCGGATGAACTTGGGTTTGAGAGGGGAAGGGACTCGAGGCGGTGAAGATGACAGCCTGATTATTCAGGTGTTCTGCAACCAAGTGAGAAATAGAGAGAGAGAGGGGACATCGACTTGTTAATAACTGGGAATGTAATCTTGCACAAATCAAGATTCTGATATCTTTCTATTATGTCTCTATCGGGGAGGACCCAAGACTTGCAAGGGGCAACGGGAAATGATAAAAAAAAAAGAAAAAGAAAAAGAAAAAAAAGAAGAAAACGCTCGTCTCGTGATTGGTCACGAGCAGAAACAATTAAGACTCACAAGTCTGCTGCTAAGAAAGTGGCACCGAATCAGACAAAAAATTGATCTAATTCCCGCAGGCTGAATATGCTCTGGGCTCTACAGAGGCTAGGCCAAGTCGTTTGTCCTAGGGAGCCCCGAAACAAGTAAAATACACGGGGATTTGAACACTTAATATTGGAGTATTGCGGTGTTGGAGATTAGTATATCTCTTCCGGCGTAATAGATTGATCGGATATTGATCGGATTTTGGTCACGGTAAAAGGATCTGAGTTGAATGGGGCCGGAGGGAATGGGGAGCTTTTTGTGATATTCTGAGTGTCGCGGGTACGGCGCCAATATACGAACAGGATTGATAGGAGACAAATGAGATCATGAACGGTAGCATTCAGCTGCAGCATAAGCATAGAAAAATGATGCTTTCCTCCTCTTTTGACTCCTTTGATTCCAACGTAATCCAAGAGGAACGATTTTCCGAGGTGGCACAGCGATCGAATCCTCGATATGGGTTGAGAAACATCGAGAAGGACCCTGCGTCTTTCGGGCAACAGTGTCGAGACGTATGCAAGAAGAGGCACAATAAAGGAAAAGAATTAAAAAATTAAAAAATAAAAACAAGGTGCAACCGTAGCACAAGAGAGTACAACGCTCTTTTGGTTTGAAATTCTCAACTAGGTACAGAGGACGGAGTACTCAGGGACTATCCGCATTGGAGCCAATCATGAAGTCAGTCACATCTGAAGTATTGGTATTGTCCTTGTATTTATATACCCCAAATTAGTATTCTCTTGCTGATCCCTGGAGACCAGCATTTAGTATAGACTACTCCGTATGGGAAGAGTGTATAAAATGACAAATAACTTTGTTTATTTGTACCTGAATGGCCTTTTCCCTATTCCGATTTCGAGCAAGGTCCATTACAACATGGGACGGCGTCTAGGCACCGTGATAGATCTTGGATAGAGCTATGATCGCGTCCATTCAGTCTGGATCGTGTATTGTGTAACTCGAGGTGTCTCAAATAGCTGCCGGGGGTCAAAATTATAGACGAAAGAAGCAAGACGTGGAAATGAAAAGAGAATCCTTGACGAAGCCTACAAATAGTGAACCCCATCCGACAGACACGATATTATTGGTTATGCCTGGATATATGTCTTTCTCACCGATGTCGACTAGTGTAGTATGCAGGAGCTCAAGGTCCAATCCGAAGCGAAGCACCCAATATGCGCGGTCGGATTATATCGGATCAAGCACGAACTAGAAGTTATGAAATTTATCAAAAGAACAAATACAAAGTGAAAATAAGCCACGCGATACTCAAATGGTCCTGGTCACCTAAATTCAAGAGTCAGGTCTTGTTTTATGCCGATATTCAACAACTCGGACGATAATCCCCCGGGGGGGCAATAATGAGGGGCCGTTAAATAAAAATAAGGAAGTGAGCGAGAGGAATGGGCTCAGGCCGCATCTTGTCAGCCTAACCGGAGCTAGCGACTATTTAGACCTAGTGCTTCATGAATGAAGATGGGCGGGGCCATGCTCGTTCATTGTGAGAGACTTGATTTAGCTCCAACCAGAAATGTTCACTTCGAGTATTACTCAGAGGATATAAGGGCTCATACCTTTCGGGAAGAAGGGATAAGCTCGCATCATAATGAGCTAGGAAAGGACTTAAACCCCTATTGTATGGCCGTATGATATGGGATTTGAAACGGGAATCGAACGGTCATATTTGCAATATAAATGGAAGCCTTGTGTTGGTGGATGAGTGTTTTCCCAGACTCGAAATTATTTAAAGCCCAGGTAAGACCTTTGATTCGTCAAATGACGAGCGGATGACCTGCAGAAGACGCTATAGATGTAACTGAGAAGGTCATTTGAGCAGGAACTACCCAAACAGTTGATCAACGAACGGCCCATGCGCGACTAGAAAAGGAAAGCTACCCCAAAATGCTCCAATCAGCGCAATTACTAAATTTGGATAGCATACAGAGTACTGTTTATGCCAACAGTATCGCCCAAATCGGAGTTAGTTTTCGCTCATATACACGGGAACCGCAACGGCTGTACGAGGAAGAGCAAGATGTAGTATCGTTTCACAATAACCCCCGTCGCGACAGTCGGACTACTCCATGAATTATATTGCAAATGTACAAGGTTCAAAATGGAAAAAGCCCAGATAGTCATACACGCTGTCCCAGGTCTCACAGCAGCCCGGTCTTGCAGAGCTGCCGTTTTCCACGCTCGGCGCCGACTTTCCTTTCCCGTCATACAATGACAGGGTCTGTGCCAGGCTTGCAGAGCACAAGGTGACCCTGTAGCTCCAAATAGAGAAAGAATGTATATATTTTCTATCGTTGATTCTGAATTTAAACCTTGCCTAATCTTGTGTCCTTCAGCCAACGGACCAAGCCGAGCTGTATCCCGGATGCAACATGCTTTCTTAATTACCACCTTAAACAAGGAATTAGTATAAAATTCGTGAACCATTGACTCGCGCCGAGTGGCGTTTTTGTTCTTTGTTACGCAGATCTATTGGGTTATGCACTTGTTCGTAGACGCTGACTGGGTATTGGTAAATATGTACATCTGATAATGAGTCCCCATCGATCCCATGAAATAAAAAAGAGCGGTAATTAATGTACATTCACAGACAACCGACGACAACCGCAACTTCCTAGTTACATCTAAGCTTTATCATTGGTGATGTCTACAGCAACCCCCACTTCTATCCCTACATTCCTGGAGACTTACACATATTGGTCACATCCGGGGCCTGTTAGATGACACAGATACAAGCTGAGGAGAACATCATTCGTCAGCACAACAAGGTATTAAAAATGTCAAATTCGACATGTCCAATCCAATTTTCAGCCTATTTGCCTTTTTGATTCCATCTTTGGGGGATAGTTTAGAATGCCTCCTTTTTGATGCAATATCAGAACCAATTTTATCTCCACAATCAACAACGAAGGGCAGACATGGCTCTAACCAAGAGTTAGATCAGAACAGAATTCTGGAGAGTAGCTATTACCACGCCTTTAGAAGCTAAGTGCTTGGATTTTTAGAGGCAGCTTACTGCCTCTGATGAGTCGAGGGTGGGGGGGGGCACATACATTTACGCCTTAACCTATCACGTCTTCCTTCCGATAGTCATAATTCTAGGAACTACGTTTTATGACTTGCGTAGAAAAGATAGACATACGCTGGTATCAAAAGCACGTGTAAGCTGCATATATACTTACGGATCACCAGCAAGGGAGAAATTGGAAGTCATTTTTTTCTAATTTAATACAATGAGTATGCTTGAGCATGCTTCAGGTTGCCTTGGGAGTTGCGTCCCGGGGCCACGCGTTCTACAGATCCGCATCTGACGTGGTTATACCCTAGCTTTAAAAGCCCGCAAACCTTTTAGCAGAACCTGGAACAATGTGCTTGGTTGTCTATATAGAATTGGTTGACTCGCGGCTGTGGATGTGACTAGAACAGGCATCTATGGTTGTACATGGGGATGCACAGCAGTGCTTGATTTATACTGTATACCATGGCACATAGATCTACAATGTAGTGGGCCTGATCGAAATCCCGAAAATCAGGAAAGTTGTTCTAGTGGTGTTTGGATGTAACAATGAAGACTGGAGGTACTATGTAACTCCGAGAGGCTGCGCTCATTGATTTGGTTGGGGCTGAGTCCTGACCCACTAGTATGTGACGAAGATTTACTCCAACGGCACCTAGAGCGATATTTGCCGTCCGAGGACATGGCTCTGCTGTATGGTGTAGATATACTAGTAGACCCAGCAACTGGCTTAGTTGCAGCCGTAAGCCAGATACCCGGAGACGAGACCTTTCTAGGGTATTGGTCTCATATTCCGGTCGCGTGCATGCATTGGCCTGAATCAGATTCGTTATTTGTTTTAGGCTGCAGTAACAGCAGCAGCCGGGAGTGCCCGGGGTAGAGCACTCGTGACCCAGAGATCGAGTAAGATCTGCAGGGTGTAAAATCTGCTAAACCTAGGAGAGGGGTTTTTGTAAAGCCCATCCGGCGTGGTGCATTAGTTTCTGCTGGGCATGCAATGTCTAAGGGATGTGTTACACGATTGGTTTGGTAGGAGTTTGTGTGTACATCGTAGATGTCCTTTCTTGGGATTTGCCGTATAATTATGACCGTTTTTGCATTGCACAATGCACAGTTTGTTTTGTGAGCAGGAATGCATTGAATATGGCTGCCACAAAGTACCAAAAGCAGCATATTTTCCGTGGAGTAGACAACAGTGGTTCAATCAAGTCCTGATCAGAAATAACCGCCCCGAGACGGATCAATGGAGCAGGGCGGTAGGTCTATCCCCATGGTCTTAAGAACGATGAGCTGAGAAATGAACAAATTAAAACACCGTGGATCCAAGAGACAAATCATTTGATTGGTTAGTCACCCAATCCATCCTAGAAAAAGGCCTGATAATTGAGTTCATCCATGATGCCTGAAAAAGAATTAGAGAGAGAGACAAATGTAGAGAGACTTGCGCCTTCCCAAAGAGCCAGGTCGATTTGCCACGGAAGGAGCTGGTGTAAATCAATCCCCTAGAAAAGGAAAGGAGGAAGGAGAGACTCAGTAGGGAGTACAACATACAGAGATGGCGGTAGGAAAGCCGGGCCGGATCCGAACCACGGTAGGGTAAAAGTTTATCTCGAGATGCTACATCGACAATACAATTGTGAGTTGGTAATAAGAGTGTCAGAAAATATGCCAAAAAATAGCGCACAGACCGAAAATGGAAAAAAAGTTTCGGTTTGAGGTTTGGCAGGGCGGCTGTGACAGAGTGGTGGGGAGTGCAGATTTCCCGCAGAACGGCCAAGCAGAGCCGCCTGAGCTGCTGTCTATATATATTATCTTTATCAGCACGGAGCAAAATGACTGGACTGATATTTTGGGCCGTATGTTGTAGTAAGGGGGTGGACTATCTATATATCCAGTGCTAGAATGCAATGATGTTATGAACCGAGCGCGAAGGTGCGGGGTCTGGTTTATCATGCCATAAAGCAGATCATACTGCTGCCAACTCTACCGATATTCAACAATATGTAAGCGGGGATTACATCCAAGAGGTGTAAAACAAAGTGCCCATTTCATTGACTAGACCGCTAGCATAGCCGTAATAGTCTGCTTTAGATAATTAGGAGCAACGGCGTAAGTCTGCAGTAAACTGCGCATCGGATGGTTTTCTTTTTTTATATGTACGGAGTATCGATTGTCGATCTCACATGGTCGACGGTCTGGCTGCGTCTTCACATGGGTGATGATATTTGTTCCGGTTCCAGACCGATATTTCGTTTACTGCGGATGTCATCCGATAGAAATGCTCTGTTTTATACAAAGTATGATCTACAGACATGAAACCTCTAATTACACCATAGCTGTGACCGTAAGAACATGTCACAATTCGGGGGTCATCCGAATGTCTGGCTGTTTATTAGTTTACTTTGTAAAGCGGGCATGCGAAGTAGTTCGAGGCGCTGGCGCTAGAACCATTGTGGGGCCAACCAACGTGTGCTAGCGGGTACAGAACCTGCTTTCCAAGCATTTCCAAGTGCCCAGCCCTTTAGAGGAGATTCTAGACTTCGATTTTTGGGCTTGGTGGCTGTAATAGCTCCAAAACATTGGAATTAGTGGGGTCCTCTGCAGCAGATCTGGCCATAATTTTTTTTTTCCCTTTCCCCTTCTTGTCTCACTCGCCGTCAACGGCGTTGCATCCTTATCTGCAAGTTAATTATACTCTTCTATTATTTATTTCGTTATGTTGGGTTTCGATCAAGCTCTGCAAGCGGAGCGAACCCCGACCGTGTTTTTGTTCTTGGCTTCCTATTTTATTCAAGGCGGGGCCGTAGTGAAATAGGAAGTATCGGCAGGATAACATTCCACTGCTTTATTCCGTTGGAAGGATAAACTCATAGGCGGAGTAAATGCACTCCATCTTGGGGCGCCACCTTTTTGGTTTATTTGGTTGGTGTCCACGGAAGGGAGCTGGTGTAGGTTTACAGCGGGGGTCTGGAGCAGCATCTCCGTTGCACGGGTATTGTAACCAGGCGATTAGGGATCAGAGCCGTCTTCGGCGGATTCTAAAGATCGTCAGGAGGGGCATATTTCTGAGTGTGGACACTAGCATGTGGAATGCTTGGACTTGTCGGTGTACAGATTTTCATTGTCCAGCACATTATTATAGTATGCTCACGGGACAAGAAGATGGCCCGGTGCTCGGGGCACTCATTATTAATATAATGCCGTAGAATCTCTTGGGGTTTGGCCACGGCGGAAGAACTGAATGCAGCCAGAGTTCCAAGGGCCCCGTTGGGGCTTGCTGAGTCATATAACAATGGGATGATGTTTTCCAAGGAATCAGTGTTTCTATGTTGTAGAGATGATTTCATGTTTCTATATTAATTTGATAGAGAAAAAGAGGAACAAAAGTTGATCAAAGAACTTGCAAGTCTTGTTTTTTTTTTTAAGTATATGAGCCTGAAACTGCAAACGTCGAAGGATGAGGGGGTTCGGATTTCCAAGGAAAGTAATCCGTGGGGATCGTGAGTTTCCCCGTGCAACGTTTTGTATTCTTTTTTCTTTCTTTCTTTTTTTTTCTGGGATTAGGGCGAATAAGCAAGATAAGCTCCGCAGAAGGGTCTCCACCGAAAAATTTTCGAAGCATCAAATGATCAAGAAAACTGGGGCCATCCACTCTGGAGGGTCCGAATAGCCGCTACCTACACCGGAAATCCCTTTTTTTCTCTCTTTAATTTTTTAGAATCACTTTTAGACTGGAATAACGACTAAATCAGAATAAATTAGGATTGAAGACATATTGACTAACTTTCTGGGGTAAAGAGTTTAAATATGTAGCAAGTCATAAAAGAGGGAAAAGAAAAAGAAAAAAAAAAGGAAGAGATGACCCATCAGAGGCCTGGAAGCCGGTTTCGTGATCTGGTGACACGGCAGGCTAGAAAGGGCGCTTGGACCATGTTCCCCATTATTCTTCGAAGGTATAAGACTCGCTACCAATTCCCACCGTTTTCTGCCCTTTTCCCTTTGGAACTCCCCCTTAACAATTCGAACATCTTACATCTCACATCTCATATCCTCATATCTAAACCTCTCCATATCTGGGTTACAATATTCTTAAAAAACACCCATCAGTCTATGACCGTTCAAAACAACATGAATACCGGCACTACGCAAAGAGCCCCCAAGACCCCGAAACCAACCGCCTCCGTGCCAATTGTTCAAAATAAACGCTGGCCCCCTATGGCAAACCGAAATGCTCTTCCTTACAAGCTCACACACCTGTCGAAAGAAAAGCTCGCCCGTGAAGCTACCGCACCAGACCCCGACCTTCGCCGTTGCGTGGCTCACTTCCGCCTGCACTGTGGTTCCGTCTCATGGACCGAGAATGACATGAAGTCTCGTATCAGCTCATTTGATTTCGAAGACACCGACGAGGAAGACGATGTGGATGAGATCAATACAGAACTGCCTGTCCTTAAGAACAGAGCTGCGGCCAACGAGACTCCAGTCGAAATCACAGAACAAATCTCAATTAAAACAGAGCCTGTCGCTGTTGCAGCAACACCAACATCACCAACATCCCCTGAAACTTCCTCCGAGCATGGTTTTTTGGAAAAGGGTCGCAATTGTCTTGAGGCGACCTCCAAACACCTATGGACAGGGGGATCTTGCATGGTTTCTCCAATCGCGGGTTGAACTCGCCTTCACTCTTTAATACCCTTTATCTCTCCCACACTCTCGACTATCGACCTTTTCTCCTCATCTTTTGCGACCGACACGATATTACGATTTGATGACTATAATGAACACACCCAAAATGAAACCATGTATATACATTTATTTACTCTTGACAATATGTCACTTATAATTACCAAAGAACCAAATTTTTTTTTTTGCTGGACAATCTACTTTCCCGATTATATCTTGATAACTCGAATAAAAATAAAAGGCTAGGTGGCCTAGTTGAAACTTGAACCTTTCTTGCGCTTTGAAATCGCTTTGAAATCGCTTTGGAAAACTTCACTTCCCCAAACTCCCCACATGACTCTATTCTTGGACACTCAAGCCGGAAGGTCAAGCGAGGTCCACGGGTGACTCACCTGCCGCGTAACCCGGGTCACATGATCCATACCCGAGAGTGGAAAATGGAATCCTGACGATCTTCACCAATCTATTAATGTCAATCCTGGAGAACTAACGCAGGCCCCAAACCCGAGAGATTGGGGTGGAACCATGATCCTCATGGAATCCAAGGGAAACCAGCTGAGAATAGCGAATTATGTTTGGTGGAAAGTTGCCGGGTGATTCGCCACTTACCCGCCGATCGGGTCAGTTTTCATCATAGTCATGTCACATTCTCATATTCAACGAAACACTTTTCAGCACACTCCGATATCTTCCATTCTCAATTGAACATCCCATTATGTCCTGCTATTATTGGTAAATGGGACCCGCCAATGTGATCGGTATCAAACTGTCAATATGCGTGGCCTGACGTCGCTATGATACCCCAGATCGTGTCTGTCAACCTTGAATCAAATTGAGTTATAGCGAGAACATGAAAACAAGAAAATAAACCGCGGAAGGCCATACAGCACACAGAACACAAAACCCACAATAGTACACACAAAGTACTTGAGGACGTCACTCCAGAACTATAGCTACTGCCCGGCCGAAAGAACATTCAATTCGACATCCCACCCTTCTAGCATCGCGACAGCATAGGTAACGATCTCATAGGTCCGCAAAGCCACTGTGCATCCCCGTTCGACCAGCGCGGATCTGCCCGATTGGCTGGTATCTTATCCATTCCCCGTATAAAGTATCTCTCGGTGAACTCTCGGCCCGTGAGGAACACCCCGACCAGGATCGCCGACGTCAACTGCTTGACATTGCTCGGTGATGTTATGGATGACGCTGTTCTGCTTAATCCCCTGGATGACCCTTCGGGTACATTAGCGCTTTGGCGAAAAGTGGGTAAGACAATGGGCCTAGAAGTGTCGGTGTATACAATGCTTTGAGTCCCTGCTTTTATACATAGCAAAGTCTATTTCACATGTTAAGTCTTTCCCCGCCTTCTTATACCGTCTATGTATGAAACCGAAGGTCGGCAAAATATTTCCAAAAAAAAGACATCTAAAAAGACATATAAAAAAGACACCCAAAAAGACCATTGAACAGACGTCACAAGGCACATCAGCGGCCGACTATACTTCTACATAGTTGATTGATAACCGCGAAGGGTGGGTTTAGCTCTCGTCGTGCTCGAGTACATCTCTTTTGTTCCTTTGATTTTTTTTGGCCTTTGCCTGACATCGTCCCCCTATCTCATCCTCTTCATACCGAGAATTCAATCCCAACATTTGCCTTCCCCTTGTCGAAAACAATGCCATAGTTGCTATATCTAATAATGTATACGGCACCCCCCAAACGTCGCTAGAATAGCCTGAACCTGTGCTTTAATTGCAGTTCCATGCATGCAATATCCTCGGTTGCAGCGCCAGCTTTCAAGTGAGGAATCTAGAATAATGTGTGACCGAGATTTGATTTGATGATGCGCATTACTCAATTGTAATCTTTATTGTTGAAGATGACAGTAGTTCGGGGAACCGGACGCTTCCAGCAAAATCAGGATGGAGGTGAGACCAAGTAGGTGACTATGCACCCCAATCGGTCAAAGACTGCATGCATTAGCCCCATTCTTGAGATGCAGTGTGAACGTATGATCGTCCTAGTAGATCAAGTGATCTTACACGAACCCTGCAGCTGAACAGTTCATTTGTCCATACTCCATACGGATTATTATAATTCCTCATTCCATTCGGATACATGTACGTCGAATGCGGAGTAATAAATGATCCAATAACATCCGCATCTGTCTTCACCGCAAATCACAATTTAGAAACAACAATATTCGCTTCCCCAGAGACAAATTTGACATTCCAGCCTCCTCTCGCATGTTGGAATTGACCTCCAGTTACAGCATAGTCATCCTCCGCACCTGGAGTCTCGACCCAAACAATAACGGAAGAAACATCGGACGAGCCAGGAACAATACGTAGCTGAAGAGACGTCGGTAGAGAAATATTAAACGAAACCTCTTCTATCAGTCCAGTGCTGACCGTGACGTATACTCCCATCTGTGCAACGTAGACGCGACGACGCACAGCATCTCGTGGCTGCACGGTGACCGTGTTTCCATTGGTAGCGACATTTCCCCCATATGCGGTAAGCCCGACATCGGGATCATCGACGACGTAGACAGCGGATCCAAGCATTATACCTAGGAAGTTTGGACCGTAGTCGCCTGAATAATCGTCGCCTTGCAGGGTATCAGGGAAGGAGTGGAAAGCATTGTACATCGAGCCATCTTTTCGGATGTTTGATAGCGGTCCTGTGATTCCGCCGTAGCCAACTCGGAGGAGATGGATGTCAGTGGGATTCTCGCGGAACTGGGATAGCAAGGGTAGTGCATTGAGACTTGATCCGTAGTGATGGATCATGCGCTCTATGCGCTGTAGCTTGCCACCATAACTGAATGAGAGGTCAGCAAAGGGAACAAGTCAAGAAAGATCAACTGCAAAAGATTGGGCTGGTTCTTACATAAAATCCCAATATCGCCGGGCGTTTCCATTCCATCCCCAATGCGGCACTGTGGGCATATATCCCAGAATGCTGTTGACGGTCTTAGTTGCTGTGTTAGTTAAATTGAAATACCTAACTGGAATGTTAACAAATCAAGTATCACAGTCAGAAAGGTCCCCAAAGAGCGAAAACCCACTTGCTCCAGTAGTAGACTCCCTCTTGGCCGGTCGAGTCCCAAGCCATCTCACTGCCAAAGGGAACATCCTGCGTATCCCATGCCTCAGCGCGAAGCTTCATAGCAGCCTCCACAGAGTCGGCCTCAGCAGTCCACCTTTCACGCCTCAAATCTGATAGAAGCTCACCAACGACAGTCTCACCCATGAGCCCGAGACGCGAGTACCCCACAAGCCCATCCCCACCCGAGTCCGTGGCGAAACAGGTCACTGTGGTATTGTATGCTTGAGCGAGATACCACTGCCAAGTGTGTATCTTCAGAAGAGACCCGTTATCTCGACCCGCACGATACAACGCCCAGTATGCACCGATGACATGAATATAGTCGTAGGCACGATCTGTAGCATAGGAAGCATCCTTATTCCACGACCACCAGTTGCCCCAGTCAAGAGCCCGATTGTATATGTATCCAGGGACTTGAGCAGGCTCGTAGAAGAAGATACTCTTGCGGACGGTGAAGTCTGAGTTTTGGATGGTCTTAGACAGAACGTTGGATGCAAATTGTTCAAGTTTAGATACTTCTGTCGCATTGGCTAGACCAGATTGCTTCATTGCGCTGGCTAAGTAGGTCACGCCGCCTTCGTCGCTTAGCCCAGATATCCAGACTCGGGGTTCTTGGAGGACTTGGGCTTGGGTTGAGTGGTCCCATGTCATGACTGATGGAGCTCGGTGGAAGGGATCATTTGTGTTGTTGAACCACATTGACGTGGTAGTGAATTCGCCCAATTTGTTGATTGTTGCAGGTGCCGAGTCAGTAATGAAGTAGTGTATCGTTTGGGCTTTGCCGTCTTCGTATTTGATGGTCACTCTGGTTCGACCCCAAACCAGCCCCGTTGGGGTGAGCGATAAAGTGCCATTTGTACCCCGGGTTATCTTAAAGGAGTTGTCTTCGGACACGACATCGGAGATTTTAGAGTGAAAGACGTAAAGCCGAGCTGTGAGATCGACTGGTACCACATATCCCGGTATGCCCAGCATAGCAGGCGTGTTGGTAGCTTTGAGTGCGTTCTGTATACCACGCACACCGTTCTTTACAACCGTAAAGCGCAGTCCGTAGGTCACTGATTCACCTGGGCTCACGAGTCGAGAGCTAGGCTTGTTCCACGGGATGGCACCAGACCACTCATTCTCTGCATAGGCTTTAGTATGAGTCTGCCATTCGTAGAATCCCTCAAATGTTTGACTGCCGTAATAGAGAGGATCGATGTTAGGTTCGTCCAGGTTTCGCCATGCTTCCAGTGGGGTGCTTGTGTTGAGCAACGGGGTAACGATCAACGACGCCCCAGTCCCGGACGTGGGGTTTACCTGAAGGTACCCAGCATCCATCCCAATATATGGATCTGTGAGCGAGCACTTGGCCACCATATCTTCTGCTGTGCGGTTGGAGAATATACTGTTGAATTCGGTCGGGAAGCCCAGGCTCCCAATTTCCAGTGTCTGATTTCCCTTGTTGGTCAGAGTAAAGGTCAAACTGAGATCGCCGTCAACATCAATCCATTTCCGAAGAATATTGATAGGAGAGGTCGGTAGGGTTTGTGTCATCTCAGCGGCGGCAAGAGCATCGGACTTGGCGCTTGTCAACGATTTTCTTGCTTTCGATGAGTCGCCTGCAATCCACTGTGTTGAACCCGATAGTCGATAACGATATGTAATGTCCCCATTATGATACTGGCCATTTGCTGCTCTGTACGTAATATCATCGAAAGGCAAGAAGTCGAAAGACTCTCCTGCTGGTTTGAGGGAGGCGAGGACCTGGGAATCTTTGACCAGCTTAATGTCAAAGTTGGCCGTGGATAAAGAAGTATAACCCTTAATTAGACCAAGTGAATCCTCATATGCTTGGACAACCACAAAAAAGAAGATCAAGGAACTCGAAACAAGTTTCATTATGCAAACTGAAGCCGAGGTAGGTTCTTCTCCACGACCCTTGGCTTGACAAAGTGGAATGAAAGACAGAATATGAGCAGGAGAACACAGCTGATATCACGGCTAAATATCGAGTCTCTGGAGAGGAGGCGACGTGAGACATCAGAGCTATTAACCGGAAATCACCCCACACTTTTATTCCGCAACGTTGCATCCTGAATTCATTCTAGGAATATATATTTTACGCCAATGAAGATTGGTTTATTTTGCTGAAAATGTTAGTATCCTTGTAGTCCCAACCCCCGCAATACGTATAACCGCCCGTAGACTCTATCTGCTGTTTCACATAGAAAGACATTATGAACGCGATATACGAAAAACCATGATGAACCCACCCTGATCCGTTCATTTGGCCGACCTCCGATTCTCCGGCAGATGATGCTCATCTCCATTCGCGGTGAGAGCCTCGACGAGCGTAGCCCTCCCGAAAGTTAAAACCCTAAGATGCTGATACAGTTTGATAGTAACGTGGTTCTCTGGCTTGACTATAAGTCGCACTTGGATCTTATTCGGAGATTATCGATATGATCGCAGATAGTCGAGTGTGCTTTGAAACAATTTGGCACTGAGACCAAGGCCCCGGTGATCAGGCAGCGTGAATAAGCTCAGCATCTGCCATCCCCCTTCTTCTTTGTCCGAACTAAGTGGAAAAAGGCCGGCTTCTTCAGGTAAATTGAAGTCGGCCTGGGATATGGGTCCGTGCATAGTCACTTGGCCAATTCGTTCATATTCAGGTTGTGAACTATGATGATTGAATGGCGTGGCTGCACAAAAGAAGACCTCGAGACCAGGGACAGTGATGCGGTCTACCCACTCGGTGGCAGTGAAGACGAATTCAACCTCCAAGGTTAATGCGAATGAGCCAGATGAGGCTTTCTAGGCCTTGAGACATAGATCTCGCTCGGCATCTCTGTGCCGAGAGGTTGATTCCGTGTGTCTTGGAGATGTGGCAGAACGGTAGGTATAGTTGGAATGGGAAGTCATGGATAGAACATGAGAGACAAAAAGCTGGATTCTGTCACATAATGGGACATGTTATTTATCTGTTATATATCCGATCAGTGGGTCTCTACGGCTCACTTGAACATGGCCGACGTCGCTTACCGGCGGTGTGGTTCACATTTGAACGCAAATCCAATGTGACCGGATGATAAATCGGAAAATGCATCTCTGATTATTAACCCGGGTATCAATTGGCAGACATTGAAAAGGCTAGATCAAAATCATTGAACATCTCCACTGGATCAAGCAGTCCAAAGTCCACATGAGACTGAGTCAGGAAATCCAGCATAGTTGGTTGATGCAAAGCCATTTCCGTGGTGAGATATGGTACATTCGATTCAAAGAGTGGATGGCCTAGATCTTCCAGAGGACCGATGCAGGATTGGAGATTGTTTGAACTTTGGTATGGTCGTGATGATATAGAATCCAATTCTTCAGTCATCGGCAACGCATTGGCAACATTATCCACGGCACCATGAGAAAGCGCCGATGTGGCGTATAGTGAGCTATCATGAAGGTACTGGCGAACTCGCTGCATGCGTTCGTAGAGGTCCCTTGACGCGAGACTATCGGACAACCTGAGATTCCTGAGAATCTCCGTTGCGGTTTCGGCCGATGTCAAATCACTTGGATCTCCGAGTGGCAGAAGACTCGAAATAACCAGGATTAGTGCGGCAGAGAAGAGGAAGGCAGGAAATGAGTAACCGAATATTGCCAAGGATCCGCCAGTCCATTCATTCACACATAATGCTAGCGAGTGTCTTGCTGCGTGTATACATGCCTCACTTAAAGTGACCAGGATGGGCGAAATAGAATCCATAGACTGGTTAGTTTGGTCTTTCATTTTTAAACTGAGAACATGGAGGAGGACTGGTCGAATTGCCAGGATGACGCACTAACGTAGTCAGTATGGTGTCGGAAGGTATCCAAAGAGAGTGATGCTCATACAAAATTGAACTGAAGATGCATCTGAACCGTATGTTTCGAGTTTGACTTTTCTGTACTGAGCCTCAGATGCTCAGGAAGAGACCGAACCCACTGTTTCAATTGAGTCAAGAGTCTCTGTTCACGATGCAAAAAGGTCTCGGCCGAAATCTTCCGGCAGTAGATCTCTCCTGTTGTATCACCTATAATTTTGGCAAGTTCTATTGCCGCGACCTGGTAAGCGCCATCCGAAAATTGGTCATGGTATGTTTCAGACGCCGAAATGGACGGTGGGTCGACATGGATATCCTCGTTGTGAATTTGCACAGGGAATCCCGACTTTGAGCCCCAGAATCGGTCAAGCACGTAGATAGTCCACCATATCCGGATGCGGTGTTCTCGTGCTACTGGGTGTAGATTTTGGGATTGTGGGACATTATAGTTTAGGCCTAGGCTAAGACCGAGTCGTAGCGCATTTCCGATCAAAAGGTAGGCGGAGTGAAAGCGGTTCAAAAATTGGCAGAAGAAGGCCTATAGAGAGTGAGCAAAAGCCGATGGAACTGCCGACAAGGGAACTGACAATCAAAAGGAGACTCTCTATATGAATCATGCTTGGTCGTTCGGGGACGATCTGGATCAGGCTCCACGCTTTGGCAAAATAGGCCAAGCCAGGTACATGGGACGTGTCGGAAAGGTCGTGAGGAGTTGAGAAAACTTGGGCGATGGCAAAAAGAGCAAAGTATTTGCACTTCATACTTGGATTATCGAAGTCACCTCTCTGATAGACACCATGGAGCATGTCCAATGTGTCTTTTTTCAATGCCAAATGGAAGCTCGGGATGATGTGGCCAAGTGCGGTCTTCACCAACAGCTGAGCACTCACAAGACCGGGCCATTGTACTTCTATGTGAAGTAAAGATGATATTGCGGACTCGTCAGTATAACGGGATCTTGGAAGATGAGGCGTCGGCGTGTTGGTCCCTTTCAATGATTGGCACAGACGAGTGGCAAAGGCAGCGCAAGTTGCCTCGCTGATATAAAGGGGAACCACCGAGGCATCGTTGGATTGAAACCATGGCTTCTCACTAAGGAGGTTACTCTGTACCAGGTGCTCTGTGTTCTCAGTGGCAGCATCCTTAAAGACTTGCTGGGGATCAGAGCTCTGCTCTTGTCTGTCTGGGCGACTTTCCTGTTTCAAACGATGTTGTCGGTCATGTAGCTCTTCGCTATCCTTTAGAAGTTGCTCTAAATAGCTATCAGTTATTGAAAAAGTTAGTGACTCATTTAAAACTAGTGATCAAAGAAGATGGATACCTTTCATCTACCCGTATTTTGCGATCTCGGGTCGCATACCTGCATTGCGCTTCGTAGCCTGCAACTCGGCATTTGGAACAAGGCTTTTCTCCGGAGCATTTGATCTTTTGTGCATGACACCGATGACAGCTGTGAGAGTGGTGAGCAGAAGTTTGATACCGCTTTTGGACATGCTTACGCCACAGCTCTTTTCTTGGGTCTTGCTGTGGTGCGAGAGGTGGATTGTTGGCTAGACCGACTGGGTATCCCCTGAAGACTAGCGCGCATCTTGATTCATAAGCTGATTTTCAAATGCAAACAGATTGTTTTTGCTCGAGCAAACCATGAGGCGAGTTGGGAGAGGTGTTCGGCAAATCTTCAGTTCGCCGGTCCGCCCAATCATGAACGCAATCCTATCAACGGAGTTTTTAAAGGTTTTAATGTTATTATGATAAAAAAATTGGAAAAGCTGGAAGTTCGAATTGCTATTTGACATAAATCTTCATTCAGTATAGAATATAGAGCTGACTTTTTCCATCTACTTGGGTAGCTGCACCATATTTCCTCTCCGGGTCTTCAGGTCTGTGTCTTAGCTGCTGAATAAGCATATTTCAGTCCGGGCAATCGAGAGATAATAGATCATGTGATATTCCTAATTAGGACTAGCTCTACAAATAGACCCACTTACTTGTTTGATTGTTTTGCTTGCTGCTCACTGTTGACCCTTGTCCATCTGAGGTGGAATTTAAGTCTCCCAATGCTAGGATGGAAGACTGGTTTTGGACTATGTTTATTGTTTGTTGCATTCGTTTGGTGCGATTTCTGCTATTGACTTGCTCACTTGAGAACCGCAGGCCATTTGTGTACAAAAGACTACCCACTATTTCAATTTCCCTATATCATGCTAGTTCATAGCATAGGTTTATGGGCGCTGTGACCGAGTATCAGCGAGTCTTTAATCCAGTTCTGCTGTCGAGACGCCCAATGCCAAAGGTCCATCATCAAGGATCGTAGAACGACGGACATCCCTCGCAGTCATCGTCGCGGTATAGGGATTGGCACGATGCATCGATTGGCTATAAAGATTAGTGACGGATCAATGCGAGACACTGGAGACTTACCGGTTATCCCACCAGACCATATCACCACCAGACAGCCACTCCATGCTAAAAACATACTTCGCCAATTAGCCCTGGAGGTTGGCAGAACATGGCTGACTTAAACTCACTTTGGACTGTGTACAGTGTTCGATCAACTCCCAAATCAGCCGTTGGCTCTCTTCGATATCTTTGCCAACGATTCGTTTGGCATGCGCCGCCAGGTACAATGTTTTTCGTCCGTCTGGTGCTGTTTGCACGAGACGGTGGTAGGCTGGTGGCTTGGCTGCCAGTTCGTGAGGAAGAGGATTTCCAAACACCGCTGGTGACGCGAGCTTTCGGGAATGCCAAAGACTGGATAAAATTAGCTTCAGAGAGGGAGACATCTCGGAACAGATGGCTTACTCGTGCTCAACAACGAAGTTCTCAATCTCGTCCTTTTTCGCTTGAGATAGGTCACTGTAGGCACGGCGTGTGTCTGCAAAATGGGTCCACGATCCACCTTCAACTGGATTACCATGAGAAAGCAGTATGGAGTACTTGGACCGGTGTTGGTGATATGTGGAGTCCTAGATTGGTTAGTACCCATGTGTCTTGCTCGCTGGGGACGTTAATGCTTACGGTGTGCCACAACGCATTCCCCAGACTGTGATGGTACCTGCGACTGTTCATCTTCACCAAAGAACCATCCAACTCGATGCTACTCTTATTAGAACGTGACATATCTTTAATGTTGGATTTTCGCGGAACACTCACTTGGCCACGTCGAATAGCAACGGCTCACCTAATCGGTCATTTTCTCGTCCGTAAAAGAACGGATTGACTTCTAGCTCGTCACCCAATTGCTGCGAGAATGCAATGTGCCGACTATTGTCTAGGCCCGTGTTGCGGAAGATCAGTACTGCATACTTGTTTTGCAAAGCGATCAACTAGCATCTTGTCAGTGGTTTCTTGTAATCCCAGTAGTATTAACTCACTTGCGTGACAATGTCAGCTGAAATAGGCTTGTTCCAATCAACACCGTCTACTTCTGCGCCAAAAGATGAATGTTCCGATTGGAATATTGGGTGGACGGAGAGTGAGCCTTCTTGGATCGTTTGTCGAGCACCTGTCCGAGAAGGACATGTGTTATCGTACACCAAAATATGCATTTGATCAGACATTAGATTGTAAAGTGAGTTGCTTGATCTCTGAATTCGCGAGGCAATCCTCGCTTTTGATAAGGCTCCTGGTCAACCCGCACGCGGCTTGAAGCCCGCGCGGCCCGACTCCGAAGATGCCGATGCGTGAGTTACGATTACTCAAATAGCAAAATATTTTCTACCTCCGAAACGAAAGATTAACCATTTCATTTCTTCTCTTATCGCCAAAATGACCTCCGTCCTAATAACAGCCGGTCCATACAAATTCCGCGCGAGATTTGAATCGTCAGCTCCCAAAACAGTGGCCCTCTTCCGCACTCTCCTCCCATACCGCCAGAAGCTCATCCATGTTCGTTGGAGCGGGGAGGGTCTGTGGATCCCATTAGGAGAGACCGATTTCGGAGTACCATTTGAGAATCATACGGCTCACCCTGCTCCAGGTCAGATTCTGTTGTATCCTGGCGGTATCTCCGAAACTGAGTTTCTGTTCTGCTATGGAGGTGTTGCCTTCGCGAGTAAGATGGGACCGCTGGCGGCAAATCATTTCTTGACTATCATTGAAGGAAATGAGAATTTAAAGGCACTGGGTGAGCTGGTGCTTTGGAAGGGAGCCCAAGATATTTTGTTCGAGTTGGATGATGCTGATAGGTAAGTTTATTCTCGCGAGTGTATAGGCTACAACTTTCTCCGAATACTAATTTTAAAATTTTGATATAGGCATGGCTCTGCAAAGCTATAATATCTATTCTGCTATCAGTTATGAAAGCATCCCGTCCATATTCAACTCTGGAAAATCAAGCGACTCCCCAAAAAGATTTCCTGCCCAATCAACACCAGAATCATTCATCAAATCTAGCAGAGACTGGATTGCCATATCATCAATCTCATTTTCCTCAATATGCTGCTTGTCCTTTTCAGAGACTAGGACCAAAGCAACTGCATAGTGAACAATGGCTTGGAAGTCGTGCGCAAAATGGAATGTCGTGGGCGGACACACACTGTCGAAGATGCCTATTGCAAGACGAAGGAGTCGAGCGAGAACCGACCAAGAAGAGGACGGAAGGCGTGGAAAAGTTTTCCCTTTCTCTTGACTAGAATCTTGGCTGCAGATTTGTAGGTTTTCTGTTTTCGATGTTGTTAGTGATTGATGGGCTTAGATAATTACTTCAAAGTATCTATACGAATATCTTACCATCGATGATGCCCCGCAGGTAGCAAAGACATAAGAATATGATAGCGAACGTATGTGAAATCCAGGTTGAGTCCACCGCGTAGTATAACCGGCTCACGGACGCACGATCCACATTGTATGCCCCGTCGGGAAAGCTAGATAGTTCCTGCGAATCTAGTGAGAAGACAATATCTGCCCTAAAGCTCGATTGGGCTAGTATAATCTGCGCTGCTGCGGTCAAGCTAACTGAAAGCGCTTGTCGGAAATGCGATTCACTCAAATCTGTCGATCGTTGATGTGCCCGTGGGGAAGAAAGTAGTGGTGCGAGGGAGGCACAATTGAGGGAGAGTCGATACCACTAAATCAATAGTTAGATTACCCTGGAAACGTGTAGATAGGTAACTGCCTACCCGGGCCGAAGTGAATGGCAAATGGCTGTAATGCGATTCCGTTTTCTCTGGAGATAGTTAATCACTGTCAGGATAAGATGCCCCATGACCGAACGCACGTAAATGACAAAACCAAGATCTGCGAGCCGTCAGTAAGTAGGTCAAAAATGAAATTGGAAACTTCACTTACTTCTCCCAATCATCTAAATCAATGTTCAACCGTTCCAAGCAACTCGGTTGCAATTGGCGGCCAGATATATCCCCACAACTAGACATAGCAATGTGAACTATTCCGACAAGTTCCACAAGTCCCCTTACTCGAAGATCTCCCGGGGACTGCATCAACTCATGTGACACAAACCTCCACGCTACCTGGACCGATGGACTGGGATCAATTGATGCGGGTAGACCAGATGTTAGCATGAGGTTGAAGTTGCATGTGAGTAAATTGTACCACACTCGTAGCCTTTTTACATCCTCTGCGGATGGTACCTTGTTGGGAGTTTTGAAAAGTGATGTGGCTGATTGTTCGAGGCCTAGAAGGACAGAGTATCGTTCTGCCAATCCTAAGACAACCCAAGCACTGATCTCGTTGTATCGACTTTTGGTCTTAGGTTCGTGATGGGTGCTTTGGCGCTCGGAGTTCTCATATTCATCATCTCCTTTGCTGCATGGCATCCACTGGGCATAGAGAAGAAGCACACAGATAGAGTCTAATGTGACATCTGATGGAGTGGGGCGGAGCAAGAGTCTGGAGACCGCTTTGTCGAGTAATTTTGTTAGATCATGAGATCGGGGATGACCGACAATAGAGCCATCACTTGACATGAGCATTGTTAGCCTGGCTTCTGGGTCTAGCAATTCTCGCTCTTTACCTTTGATCACCCATATCCCAAAATCGGGTACCCACTGAGCATATTGCCAGAATGAGTGTTGGGCTTGTTTGGAGGTATTCGTGCCATGTATACCGAATGCCTTCATCTAATACAGGCGCCGAGGCATGGCAATGGTTAAAAAATCTAATGCATATTAGTAGGTAACATCTTTCCTGAACGAAGTTGTATAATACATTTCCACTGCTCGCTGGACATCTTCGGCTGTAAGAAGTCCCTGATAGGTAGGATCGTATATGCTCTTGTATCTCTGGGCTCTCAGAGTTGAATCATGAACTCTTTCTCCCGCAAGCACCCTTAACGATCGGAGTGTTGCGATAGGAGGACCCAGATGAATTCCGTCGATACTTGACTCGGGAGAATCATATATGTCGTTTTGACTCCTCGAAGGAGCTTCCTGGTGCTCTGGCTGGATATCCCTGGGTCTTTCGTTTGTATTGACGCTAAATGGACTCTTCTGATTTTCAAGCTCAAATATTCGTGTTTCATGTTGGTTGAGTCTGCTTCGGGTTTTAACGTCTGCGCTTGACACAGTAGCAATTTCCAGTCTCACCGATTTTGAAGTTCGATTACTAGTTGTACTAGACCTGATGGACTTTGAGTCAGATCCAATGTTGGAGTTCTATCTGTCTCAAATGAACACGTGATGTTTAGCCTTTGACATCGCTTGCATGGTAGTTGTAGATTGGACTCTTCGGATGATGGCAAACATCGCTGTTTGCGCGCACGACACTAAAACCTGCGTGTTAGGTATCGCGTCTCTCTCTTAAATTTGCATCACTTACTTGTAGACAAGCTCGGGCAATGCGACGTGTCTTGGCGGGGCGCTCATCATCTGTACTTTGATTGTCTGGCCAGGTGGAATTGAACGACATGGTTTGCTCTATGCTACTGGAACTGATACAAATCACATTTTGGAGAGTCGCATTAAAGAAAAGGCCCTGGTGATACTGGTCGGATAACATCTCGGACGCTGATTTGTTGCCGATATCCAGGTGTTGAGTGGAGCTTCCACGAAAGTCTAATCTCTTGTGGAACACGAAGAACGGAGTATCCATTGATGGCGGAGGATATATGTTCCAGGGTTGTATAAATAATAAAAGTGACAGTAAGTCGTACGTAAGTTTTGAGAACCTTATCCTATAAAAGTTTAAGACTTACGCTTAAACTACTCCGTACTTCTCGATCGCTTGTAGTGTGTGTTATTAGATAACTATGTTGTAGGTATCTTGGGCCTCACGTCTAATTCTAGACTCTAGTCTTATCACATTATAGATTAGTTGAAAAAATACCTACAAAAGGTGTCATAGCCTATAGCATACTGATAAAGTGTTGGTAGTCTCTAGACGGAAGCCTTGAAGCGAGTATATTGTCTCATATATAATTTCCACCCCTACACCAGTCTTTCCACGTAAGTCTGCCCCTCGCATTACCTTCTATAGACCCACACAGCTTATTCATAGAGCCAATCGGCTACACTGCGAGCATCGCGATCGGCTCTAGGGGATACAGGCCCCAATTGGCTCGGACCCCGTTTTACATACTCTCCATCTCGCACTTTGCCGGTTATCTTGCCATTTGCCCACATGACCTTACCACGAAGAATTGTATATCGAGGCCAGTTTGTGAACCTCATCCCTTCATATGGGGTGTCTTTAAAATAACAATGTAAGCTTTCCCGTGCTTGAAAAGGACAGCCAGGACCATGGCACTTACAGTCGACGTTGTGGTGTAGCATAGAATTAGTAAGATTGAATGGCGAGAAAGTCTTCTCTGGGTGCCACTAAAATTTCAACATGTCAATATCGTTATGGAGCAGCGGTTTCGATATCGATATTTATAACTTACTATCACAAAGTCGGCATCTGATCCGGGCATCAATGCTCCCTTCTTAGGATATAGGCCGTACTATCGATATGTCAGCATTGGTTCAAGCAGGTAGAAATAAAGTAGGTGTTTAATCACCAGTTTGGCTGGGTTTGTCGATGTCAACTCAACAAATCGCTGGGGCGTAATGCGACCACTAGCCAATGCTCCCGTATAGAGTAACGGCAGGCGCGTTTCAACGCCCGGGATACCATTGGGAATAAAGCGGAATGCTCCCTCTTTCCGTTCCAATAAATCTTGTAGCTCTTCTCCACTGCATGGTTTCTCCCCCGCCATACTTGCTTCGTGCTCTAACACACCGGATGGTTTTCCATGAGGGTGATCGTAGCGGAAAGGGCAATGATCAGAAGAGTAAATCGTGAATGTCCCATTTGATAGACCGCTTTTCAGATGTTAGCTAAAGAAACCCTGTATTCAATATAGCTAATCTTACACAAAGAGCTCTTCATGGTCAGCTTTGGTGGGAGGCGGAGGTGGCGAGCAAATCATCTTGCTGTTTTCGAAACATGTTGGTGAATGGAACCGTTTCTATAACTAAGATTAGAGATTTTCTATTTGCTTTGGATTGGGGGGAAATTACCAAATCATCCCAGGTGAGATGGAAGTATTGAGGACATGTCTCTGCATAGACTGGCAGTCCCATCGTCTGGGCACGACGCACATTTGCAGCACCAAGCTAGCTGATTTAGTATAAGACCCTCTTCTTATAAGGACTGAACGTACCACCGAGCCAACATGAACAAACAAAATCGGATTCTGGATGAGCTGTGCTAGAGCAATCGCTCTATTGGTGGCTTCTCCCTCAACAATCGGAGGACGCGACAAGGCGTGATAGTAAGGTGCTAGTATAGGTTAGCAAGCAAAAACGAAATTATGACAAGTAACAAAAGAAGTATGCACATACCAACCATTCCCTTACTTTCCAATTTCTCTATTCCCGAGTTAGTTTTATTCTATATCCCCCAGCAATGAACTTACCTGTTAACCACTCTATCATATCCCCATTCTCGGCATGAATCATCTGATATAGTGTTAACCTCCACCCACTATAAATATCATGTTGATAGAGAGCAACTCACTGTAGTGATAGAGTTCTTCCTTGCCGCAAACATAACATCCAACATTTGTGAGTCAGTCAGACGCTGCGTCGCATACGTTAAGAACAACTTGCAGCTACTGATCCCCCAGTCTTTGATCAAAACCGGTAGCTCATTCTCAAGAATATCTGCATCATTGCGAACAATAATGATATGGAATCCGTAATCCACATAACTGCCCGTCTCCTCAGCACGGGCATTATACCTTTCAGCGACCTTCAAGAGGCTCCGGTCTTCTTCCGCTCTGGTTTGAGTTGCAAAGGTGATGATCGTAGTGGTTCCACCGGCAACAGCGCTTCTTGACCCGGTCTCAAAGTTATCTGAGCATTCGCCGCCGAGGCCGTGTGGTCCTGCGAAAATTAGACTCAATGCTGACCAAAGAGCAGATGATTTAGGTACCAGTTTTCAGATCTTGACATAAATGGACGTGTGCATCGACACCCCCAGGCATTACATAGGCACCTCTGTATTCAAAGTGTTAATTATGTATTTGGTTCGTCAGATTCGCAGAGCACTTACTCAGCATCTATGATCTCAGCTCCTGTCAACTCATCATCTGTGAATGAATTCGCAAGAGATTGGATTTTTCCATCTTTGATCCCGATACAACATTTACTTCATTTTGTTAGCGATTGTAGATCTGTCGGATCGTGAGAAGCCCGGTACCTGATGTCACTGGCAGTCACAATTGTCGCATTAATCACAACCAAGTCAAAATTAGGCGCCATGTTGTCGATAGTGTCAGTATCTAACTGAGCAAGGGTGTCGAACTGGGATAATGAGACACAGCGGGACACACGGCTTTCAAGCCGACCATCGGCTGGTGCCGCTTATCTATCCGATGACAGTATGTTCGGCCTTTAGATATACAAAGTAGAATTTCCTATCGTTATCAATTGATTACGGGCAATATCGCGTGCCAAGGTTCTTGAATTTCCCGTATCGCCCCACACCTACATTGTATGTACGAAGGAGTACGTAGTACGGAGTAGTTAGGTGGTTGTATAGCGCTTTGGGTAATGGCCTTAATGCCTAAGTTATACCTGAATTTAGTCCTTTTAGCCTTAGATAGGTTGAATAACTTTCTACGGTAGACTGTTGTACAAATTTATGCAACACCTATTTTCAAGGTGGTTTCACCTCGAATTCATGGATTCACATACATTACTGGATAGAGAGAGAGAGAGAGAGAGAAAGAGAGAGAGAGATATAGCACGTAACTCATATTAAAAGAAGGACTTAATCTATCGTATACATAGTAGTAAAATAAATGAGTATTGTTAATCACACATGGTTGGTCGGCGCGAAAGAATCATTATTTAGATCCTGTCAGAAATCTTCTGCCACAGATTCTGAGTGCCCTCCTAGACGGTCAACTGTTAATTATATTGAACACTTGAGGTAAAATTCATGGATGCGACTAACCTTCTCGATAACCTCAATAGAAGAGCCGGTGACAAAGTCCATCTCGGAATAATCCACCATCTTTGACTTGTTCCAAAACTTGTATCCGAAGAAGAGCACGGCAAAGAACGGAATTGGGAAGTAAGTGGTAACAAAAGACGAGGCGTCAAAGCTAGGCACTTTAATAGAGGTCAGTAAAGGGAACGAGGAGCTTCATATCCTGCGAACTCACTAAAGGAACCGAAACCGCCGAAGATGATCACCATAATGCAAATTGAGATTCCATCTGAACCGTTAATTAGTATCTCCTACACGAAATCGAATTTTGTAACCTCACAGTACGACAGATATGGTTGAAGAGGGGCCATATATGGGAGAGTCTTTCGATCGATGCCCTGCGCCTTGAGACCTTTGTGCCAACGGATGCTGGTCCACAAGATCCCTGTCCAGGAGATCATACCACACATCGCAGTCATGTTAGCGACTTTTTTTTGGCGTTAGCTTCATAGTCTAACACAAACTTCCTCAAGATATCCACTCACAATAGCCAAACACTTTGCCCGCTTCTCCATGAGCAGCGGCCATAAATGAGAGGAAAGAGAAAGCACCACAGAACAGGAAGCAAACCCAAGGGAAGCCGTCTTCCCGAGTCTTGAGGAAGATCTTAGGGGCATGTCCGCGGGTTGCAAGTCCGTATAGGGTTCTTGATGAGACGAAAAGATCAGCTGTACCAGCAGACCATGCGCTGGTGAGAAGGGCTGCATTAATAATGGAAGGGAGCACCGAGATCCCGGAGTTCTGTTGATATATGTTAGCCTTTTGCTCTTCAGACAATATTTGCACGGTGAATTACCTGGATAGCGATAACAAAGGGACTCTTGGCTGCCGTAGAAGCAAGACTGAGAGAGGGGTCGGAAGGAGACACGAGAAGTCCGATCTGCGATTGTAAGCGGACTGCTAGTCACTCTCGAGTTTTGAAAAACTTACCAAGAAAGCACTGCAAATATAGACTAGATAGAAGGGAAGACAAGTTAGCACGTCGACATCTAAGAAGCGAATCACCTTAACTGACAGAGTACAAGCCTAATCCAGACACTCTTAATGGCTCGAGGGACATTCTTTTGTGGCTGTGATATGTTGTAAGTGAAGTGAACTCATGATTGATCTGACAAACTCTTACGTTTGCGGTCTCGGCGGCTGCAATTGCTGTAATTTCGGATCCGATGAATGCGAATGCAGCATTGATCAAAACTATCAACTGATGAGTTATTCGGTACGAGCCGATAGCTTGAATCTGGTCTTACCGCTGAAGAATCCGAGGAAACGTCCTTTAGAACCGGCTTTATTGAATGTTAGATATCATGTGGTAAGTGATGTGGTACTGAATTGATCGACTTACCAATGCCTTCATACTGTACGAATCCACCAGTTTCGTGCCAAAATTTGAATCCGATTGCCTCATGGTTGGGACCGCCACCGGCGCTAATGATAACACCGGTGATAATAAGGCCAATGATAGTCACAACCTATATCAGTTAGTGTCTCTGTGGTTTTTGAGACTGGTCGATTTTCATCTTACTTTGATTGAGCAAAACCAGAATTCCATTTCACCAAAGACCCGCGTTCCCGCATAGTTGATAGCAAACTAAACGGTCATCAGTATAATGCGTAGTCCAATCATTTGCAAAAGAATACATACCACAACTATAAGCATCAAGCCAACCCACATAGCATTATTACAGATTCCAGTTGAGCATGTAGAATCAGCCTGTCCTGCCGGAGTCCAAAATGTAACCAGAACAGCCGCTGCGGAAATTTCGGCCGGTAAGACAACTATAGAAATTAGATATTTCCTACTTTCCGGGGATAAGCAAGAATAGTCGCACCAATATAACTATAATATTTGTAAGTCCAGCTCCTTGCAGATCAGAATATAATTTCACTTACTTATACCAGAACAGGATACCCATAGCAAATCCAAGCTCGGGCGAAGTGAACCGACCAGCCAAAGCAAATTGACCTCCGGGAATGGGAAATTGCGACACCATCTCACCAAGGGCAACCTATAGATGGCCATTAGCCATTTTTGAATATGTGAAAAAGTCGAAAGTTGCCGTACCATCACCGAGTATAGCAATGAAGCCATAATACAGTATCCAATAAGAAGACCGGCTGGTCCACCATTCTTAAGATCGCTCGCTGTGCCTAGGAAGAGGCCAGTACCCTGAGAATTTATCAGCACGAAGATCAAGCGAAAGTAGGTTGGATGACTGACGATAACACCTCCGATGGCAATCATTTGTCTAGATCAAACCGTGAGTCCCTATATCAAGTCCCGAACATGCTGGCACTTACAGATGCCGTGGCTATATTTATTGTTAGTTCACCCCAATAGCTTTTAAAAAGGTGTGGCTCGGCTTACCCTAAGCTGTCGTTGGAGACCATGATTGCTACCGATCTCTTGGGCAGTTCCCATGCTGACAGGAACCTCGTTGGCATTATAAGCCGGCTCTTTAGTTTTCTGGGATGTAGGTCAACATCAAAACATTCATGTATCTCACTGCCCAAGGAGATTTTACCTCGTCCTGCATAATGTTTAAGGTAGTTGTCGAGGAATCTGAGCTTCTGTCAAAAGGGAAATGACCCTTATATCATATATCCCTAGGTTATCATCAACCCATCCATATAAAAACGCCCCATAAAGCTTAAACCAACTCATTATCTCTGTGATAAGCTCTTCTCTTTCAACCTTGGAACGGTTTATCGCAATGCGGGTCGAGCGGAGACTTGCCGCGCCAGCCTTATCAGCGGCTTACACACCGATGCTCCCGATGCTCATACCCCCCTCATAGGTACGAAAGGGTTGAACTTTGAACTTTGAAGAATCTAAAAAACTGAAAATTCGGAATTTGACTTGGTGACAACTATCCAGCTGCTTGCGATATTACAATGGCATACACTACACGGCCACTCCGACCGGGAGTATACGTGCCACTACCAACTTTCTTTGATGACAATCAAGAAATTGATTATGACAGCTACCGGAGACATCTGCTAGGTAAGCTAAGGCTCATATTTTGAAATTCATTGGTCACATGAACTTATCTGATATCGATCATAGCTATGGTAACACGCGGCATGGGTAAGTTGATTCAACGCACGATATGAAACCACGCACTAATGGGACTACTCGTTCAGTACCAGTATGTGCTGGATCGTTAGGGGAAGCTGTTCATCTAGTAAGTTTGTTTTTTTCTATCATGCTTTTAGATGATATAACTAAATCTTCTTAGGATTTCGATGAGCGTTTATCCCTTATCCGCTTCATCAGGGAAACTTTGGATGGGGAAGGGCTGCAATCTACACCAATAGTCGCTGGTGTAGGAGGACTCAGCACCAGAGAAACTATTAGCCTGTCCAAAGCTGCAGCAGATGCTGGGGCGTAAGTTGGCACTGAGTCCCAAAGATCGATTGGCTTCTTTCTAACAACAGCAGAGATGCGGGTATGGTTATTTTACCTGCCTATTATGCCGCGAGTCTGAACACAGACATGGACCAAATCATTCAATATTATGTTGATATTTGCGAAGCATCACCAGTATGCCCAGGTTTTCCATAACGCACTACACGTATCATTGCTCACGAAGTGACAGATTCCTCTATTGCTATACAACTTCCCTTCCAACGCCGGCGGCCAGGATATGTCTTCAGAAGTCATCAGTGCAATTATGAAGAAAACGACCAATTTATGTGGAGTGAAGTTGACGTGAGTTTCAAGCTTCTCGACCACTCTCACCATTTGGACAGCAGCGCTGATAACAAGTAGATGCGGTGGAAGTATTGGGAAGCTGATCCGCCTTCAAGCCCTGATCTCCGAAGATACTACAATAAACGAGACTCGGAAATTCCCATTCATCTTGCTGGACGGTCTTATTGCAGATCTGACCCCTTGGATGCAATGTGGTGGTCATGGCACTGTTAGCGGCATTCCTAACTTTGTGCCAGTGGCTTCTATGAGGCTCTGGTCACTACTGAATTTGTCATCACCAACGGAGGCCGAGCTCAAGGAAGCGAAAAGGATCCAAGGGATTCTTGCTCGGGCTGATGTTGCTGCGGTTCCAGGTGGTATACGGACCATGAGTTAGTATATCCCTAAACGATTTTCATGGGTGCTAGGCTAATTAAATGTAGAGTATGCGTTGAATAAACTGCATGGGTATGGAATTGCTCCGCGAAAGCCATTGCTTCCATTGGGGGAAGCCGAAGGGGATGAATTTATGAAAGCTTTGGATGAGGCAATGCGACTTGAGTGTGAGTTAACAGAGGTAGCGTCAGCCCCATAGCACACTAATATGTTGCTGCAATGTTAAAACAAGTTATCATACATACTTCACCTCAGGAACGTGTTCAGATTTGCTCATCAAAAAGCAGCCCAAGAGGTAGGCACCACAGCGGAAAGGGAAAGCCAAGAAGTGGCAGCGGAAATCAAGTAGGTGGTTGAATCACCAAATCTGTAATATAAGTCTATATGTACATAGAATAGTTAGGATATATAACACACAGAGGAAAGAAAAGGGCAATAAGTCGTAGAGTCAATATATCTAGTTCAACAGGAACCGCGTAGGTGTTTCTTGGGATTGGAGTTCCAGCGAGACAGACGATTTCCGCTTCTTAGGGTGGTAGACATGAGCCTTTAATCCTTTATTGAAGTTAAGGATACACATCACGGAGCTGACGACCGTGATAATCATCAGCAGCGCTGATACACCTGCGAATAATGTCAGGGACACCCGGAAAGAGCTGAAATCAGTGTTATCCGAGGGGCTGTGAATCCGAAGGATGATAAGGACAAGGAATCCAATTATAAGAAGCATGAAGAACTGAATGACTGGTTAGTATAAGGTCGGATTTTGCTTCGCTCTCAAGAATCCTCACCATCATGAGTAAGAGAGATTTCGTCTTCTCGCGCTTGCAAAATTGAGCTGACAGGACCAAGGTCATTATGGTGACTGGGATGACAGAGGCATTGACGATGAAATCGAAGTCTTGGGCTTGAGAGACAACAAGGAGAATCTGGAGTTGACTTCCAAATACGAAGAAGAAATCGAATTTTAGGAGAGCGATATACACCTGGAAAGAATCAGGTCAGTCATAAAACAAAGGAGGTTATCAGCACCGTCGCAACAAACCTGATATACAAAATATCGACGCTTCATCTGCAAATCCGCACTGATATTCTTGTATATAGACCATGAAAACTCCCCGCGCAATTTCCACGTAAAAAAGCTCATGCACATAGTCCCGACACCCAAAAACACTGGGACAAGAATGAGCTCAATCTTATACAATTCCTGCAGACGGTCGCCGAGCTCTTTATTGGTCAAGCTGGAGATTGTATCCTTGATCTCTCGCATCTGGAGCAGGCCAAATGTGAACAGGCCCTGATTGCAGATGCAGAGCCCAACCAGCTGAATTGTGTTCCTCCGGCGCAGTGCGTCATATGACAGAGCCAGTTCGTATAGAAGAGCGAAAATGTATAGGCCTAGGAATGACTGAAGGCGCATTTTTCCGTTTGCGTTGCTATCGTTGTCGAGGTCGTCCCACAGGCTCATAAGAATCCAACTAATTTCCCCATAAGCTCCAAATCCGAGAAGGGACTGCTATTCGAGGTCGGGCGCCTACCTTTCAATTCCGACTGTGAGGACCGTCTCAATGACCACCGTTGTTGCAAATAATCGCGTCCATAATGTGTTGGGGACGTATAGTAGAGGTCGGCTGTGGTTCGGGGCCTTTTGATGATGTTGTTCGCTCATGACTGGACTGAGTGGCACAGAATACGTGCAAATCTCTGATTCCTTGGAGTTTCCGTAAGCATTGTTGGGTTTGTGTTGAGAGGATTGGATAGGTTCAGATATCATATCAGGAATGAGGCGAATGAGATAAAATAAAGTACAGCCTAGACAATTTTAGACTATCTTCCCTTTTCAGGAGTTTTGCGGTATATTAAAGACCAAAGCGAATACGACTGCCTTCACAGTGGGGCGACCGGGGCGAGCTGGACGACCACGTAAGGCCTGTCGCATTGCCTCATTAGATCAAGCCAAGATCGATTTAGTGGCGCTCTAGTTGCAATTGACTTTCACTAGGCTAAATAAAACGGACATGGTAGTGTAGGATGTACAAGAATAGTCGGTGATTCGCACGGCCTTGGTTGTTTATTTTGGTAGCCTCTTGGTAGCCTTTTTTTAAAGCATTCCCTCTTTATTAGTCTTATAGCTCGAAGAGTAAGCAGAATTAGTCGCAAGATATAAAATATCCAAAGCAGTTAAAACATGGTAGAACATGTGATGGGAAGAATACGCGTATCTGGACTGTAGATCATGTACACAAAATACAACATTTGATGTGAATGGTAGCGTGTACTTCCCAAAAGCCCTCGAAATTTGTACAATCTAAAACACGGGCCAAGATGTACAATCCTAGACCAGAACCCTGACATATGAGACACCAAATTTCAGGGGAACCTAGAATTTTATGTTGTAGTGTCTCACTTCAATCTCTTCAAAGTCATCACGTGGGCCTCCTGCATGTCAAGCCCCAACAATAATACGGAATATTTGACTTTTCTTCGCGTGATACATGAATAGAATGTATTGTATGCTTATGAAAATGAAGAAGGTAAGATAATGCAGTGATGGGGATATATCCAATAAGAATTCAACAATGCAGCAATCCACGCCATACCAGTGCTTCAACCGCCTTGAAACTCCGACCAGGTGTGCCCGAACACCAAGTACACATAAAACAAAAAAGGTGGACGAAAGAACGCACAGCAAAACAAAACAAGCACAGAAAAACTCCGCATAAATGCATGACATATGAGGACGATATGCATTCAGGCGTGGATGCATCGGAAATTGGGAAATTAGAATTCCATCTCGTCATCCCAGCCCAGCTGCTCGTATATCGACTTGGATTGCGATTTCTCCGGCGTCACAGGTACAGCTGCGGCGCCTTTGACGGGAGTTCCCATGACGGCAGATGGGGAGTGAGCGCGAGGACTATCGGTCACCATAGCATCAAGCGACAGAGAAAATGGCACAGCAGTGGGAGTAGATATATTCTGCGGTGCTTGTCTTCTGGGCGGCGTCTCCATGATTGCCGAGGTGCGAGCGTGGTTGAGAGACTGGCTGAATTGGCGAGATGATGTTGACAAGTTATCCGTGAATGTAGAGATATTATTAGGTCGTGAGTGGATGGGGGAGCCTGGGACCATTGTTTGTGTGGATGAGCGAGGCGCTGGGAGGTTAGGCACCCTGAACAGGCCTTTGCCAGTGGATGACGATGGCCGACGGGCAGCTATAGTATCACTCTGGAAAAGTTTGGATGACGGCCTAGTTGGAGTTTCTTGAATTGCTCCATCCGGCTGACTTGACCGTGGACTTCGTCCATCGCGTAAGTTGTCATGGGAATTGAAAGGGTCTGAGTCGGCGCCAGAGAATGAGATCGCCCGTCGACTCGATGATGGGATTGTGGTGGGAGACTCGCCAAAAGGAGAATTTTCCACACCGGCAAATGACCGAGATGGGGCCAGACTACGAGGGAGCGGTGGTAGCCCGCCCACCGCATCCTTCCGTCGATTGCCTCGAGGAGTCGCCATGACCTGTACACCTTCGCCGAACGGATTGCGTACGGGGTTTCTTGACTTTCTTGAACTGCCTCCGCCGCTTATAACCCGTTTCGACGCATCGTCAGCCAAATCCTTGGAGACGAGCTCTCTGTTCGGCTTCCGGAGCGCGTGAATAGCAGCATCCAGCTCTTTCTTCTGGTTGGCCAGCATTTGGACCTTTCTCAATTTGGTCTCATGCTGTCGTGCTACGGCGTTAAGATCGACCTCACGGTTTTCTGTCCGTTTTGCTTTCTGTATGCCACCCCGAACACTGCCACTGAGAACCGTAGGAAGCAAGGGCTCAATATCGCGCTTTGCATTATGCTGGCTCGGTGCAGTGTTGGATCGAGTCAATCCTGGGTGCCGAGCATGGGATGCTGCTGCTTTATCGTCCGTAAGTACTCGCTGCAATGTTCGTCGGGGCTTTGGCGCAGGCTGTTGTCGCTTGACTTCCGCCCCGGGTTCCACACGGTGTGATTTACTCGAAGATTGTGTCTTCTTAGCAGCTGGGGAAATAGCACCAGATACGCCGAATTTGCGGGTGATCAACTTGCATTTGTCCGGGAGACGCGCAGCGTAGAATGGAATGATGACTTCCGTGCAGAAGTCACGCACCGCATCGCTCTCGACTTTCTTGCCTGAAAGATGGCTGCTACTGAAAGAAGAAGCCTTTGCTGTATCAGCGGCAGACGTTTCTTCCATTGTCACAGCATGCCAAATGCACATCCGATCGAGGTGGAGTTCGAGGAGCACATTCAAATCTGTGGGCTTCTTAGGCTTGGCTTTCTTCGACGTATTTTGCTCTCCATTTACATCTTTCTCCTTATTAGTGCTGTTTTTCTCTGCCGAAGCAATGGTCATTTCCAACACCATGACCTCCAAAATCAGCAGGATCTGCAATTGTGTCTCGCGCAGCCGGAGGTCTGAAATCTGTTTCTTAGACTCTGCTTCACGCGACGATTCCTGCGCAGAAGACTCATTCAAGATTCTGTCCTTCCACCATCTGTGGATGAATCCTTCCTCCTCTGGGTAAAGACCATTCTTGCCCATCTTCTTTTTCTTGCTCTTCCGCTTCTTAGATTTCGCGCCATCATCAGAAAGCGCAAGAACTGCATCGCGAATTGCCGATGGCAATGTTTCTCTGTATTTGAGGTCCATTTTCTTTGTAGCAAGAATGGCCTCACGGTAGGATTCAATCAGCTCTGTTGACCCATGAGGCTGTTCTGAGTCACGAGCCTGGAAGGCAGTCCGGCAGCGTGTCAACGGGCCCTTCGCGAAGTACGCCACAGAAGTCTAGAAAAAGTCAGTTGGGCAACCCCCTAATACCGAGTAGAGCATATCACCTTTGATACATAGAGAGCCTGCATATAGTGATCTCTCATCCCGTCCAGCAACTCCTCGGGCGACTGTTGCACATCTACGACATTGGAATCGACACCATCGATATCCATAATCGTAGTAATATCCCCCAAGCCCTGAGATTCAGGAAGCAAGAAAGAGCTCCCCTCAGCGGCGTCGAAACTCTTCGACGGAGCAAGCGAATGACTCCGATGCTCTACAACGCCCACAAATGATGTCTCGCTATTCCCGAGATCCGACTCAGACGGACCAAAGACAACCGCAATATCCAGCCCAGTGGACTGTTCGCTCATCTCAACATCGGAGAGGGGTTCATCGATCTGAGCTACCTGCCACCAGTCAAACCCATCGGGAACAGCACCGGTCTCGTCGATAGCCACGCTATCCACATCCGCTGCGTCAGTTCCATGCCACCCCTTGGCCGCAACAACGAGATTGCCTTCGTATACCCATCGGGCAAGCTTAGAGAGCGAGTATATGCCCCTCTTCACCCTCTCGATAATGTAGAGCCCGCCATTGGGCATCAGGCGCACAGCAAGGACAGTTGGTTCCGCCTTCGCGCTTAGGTCAATTTCTAGCGTAGGGATGTCCGCGGTGAAAAGGCCGCCCGGTTGCTCATCGGATCGGGAGGCGGGCGTGTCATCGAGCCATGAGAGGGGCAGCCTTGTACGGGGGAGGGCGGTAATTGGTTCGAGGATCAAGGGTTCATCAGATAAAGACGCCGAGTGAGCCTGTACAAGTTGCGGAGAGTAAGCAACAGAAACTAATAAATTGAGCGTATGCTGGGCTAATCATAAGCGTGACTCACTCTTATCACGATAGAAGAGGTAGCAAGCTGTCCAGCAGCATCGTTTAGTTCCTCTTGATCGCCTCTTTTCCGTTTCTTTATGAGTGGAGGGGTCGGTTCGTGGAGTTTGTTCAGCGCGGATGAACTGAGCGGATCTAGGATGTTGGGGACTATACGCGAGGCCATGATCGCGGCTAGGAAATCGTGGGCATCCTGTAATTTGAATGCAAGAGTCGAGTCTTATGCTAAACTAATAAAGCAATTGACGTTGGTTGTGCAGGTGTCGACAGATCGCGCTTGAATCTTGGTGGGTCTGGCGTCACGCGTCGGGACGTGCACTCCGCCTGGACCAATATGAGACACGTTAATTGATTTCAAAATGAAGTGGTCGAGAGAGCGTTGGTGTGTTGTCTTAGGGATTTTGCCTAGGTATTGGAATTGATTGAGATATTTGAGTACGTTGAAAATACCTAAACTAGTATGTAGTATACTACCAAAAACAATGTGTGAAAAAAGATATGAATATTATGAATCTATCGCTAATGTTTAGATTAGCAGGCCCAGGACCAACAACGAAAAGAACCCTCAAGCACTCTCACAGAGAGTGGCGTGCAGGTTCCCTCGAAACCGATGGAGTATGATCCAGCGTGGAGGCAGGACCAAATTCTCCTCGTAGGTACCATGGACAGTAGTGTTGAAGACTGTCGCTCCAGAAAAACGCCAAAAACTTCCTTTCCCAGCCGATGAAAAGTGGTATCATGTTGAATTTTGTCTTCGCCGAAAAGGCCCGTCATTTGCGCGACCATGCAGATAATGAAACAAGAGAAGTTGGTCTCCAAGCGGAAACCAACTTCTGGATTTTATGAGGGTTTTTTATAGTCTATGCTCATCGTGCTTTGAGTTGTTGAAAACAAAGCAAATCATCACAGTCGTCAAAAATTGTCCGGAGTCACCGGATCAAGCAGAGCCCGCTTAGAACTTGAGGGCACGGGGTGACT